ATCGAGAATAACTGTACTTTATGGAATTAATATTAATATATTTAGGGGCCAAACTAGGTCGGAGTCATATTATCGAAATACTATTATAAACATTAAATTTGTAATATATTTAAAAGAAAATCATTGTACGGACATATATTGTAGATACCAATAAAAATATATAATTTAATAAGTGCCTTTTATTTCTGCTACTTATGTTGAGTTTTTTTTGCTTAAACGGGCAAACGATTTCTTCGTTTATACAGCCACCCGAAATCGACATGAAGTCACACCTACAATTAAAATAACCAGGCAAACTACATTTTTAGCGGTAGGCAGCGGCTTGGCTCTGCCCCTGGCATTGCTGAAGTCCATGGGCGACGGTAACCACTCACCATCAGGTGGGCCGTATGCTCGTCTGCCTACAAGGGCAATAAAAAAATAAATAACTAGATCGTGAACCCACACAGCAATACTGAAGATAGAAATAAAAAGCCTCCCCTTTGCTAGGAAGAAGTATGATATCAGTCTATGGAAGTCCTGGAGATGGTCGCATACGATCCAATCTTTTCAGTAGGTAGCAACGGAAACCGTTTAATTGTAAAATATACCATATAGAAACCAGACAATAGCCACCGACTACTAGGTACTGATGAATAACCAGAACACCATCATATAGGATCTTCTGGTTTAATGTAAGATTTATTTATTAGGTAAATAAAGTAGTTACCCGAGCCAATTGGGTTTTACGTGCGAATGAGAGCTTAACTTAGATTTGTATAAATGATTTATTGTAAATACGTTCAATCTTCAAAACTTACAGTTTTTCAAAGAAATCAAATAGTTGCGTGGGACTGTAGATTGAGTTTCAAGTTGCTCATAAATAAAACGACTAATTACATTATAGATTACACAGCTTAGTATACGTTCAAATCACTATCGTAAACATAAGAAGAATAGACTGGAACTTTCCAGGTCCCTCGCGACCCACTGAGAAGATCCGGCGAGAAACTCAGCGGGCTGTGTCTGAGGGTTAATTTACTCGTCGAGCCCTTCGTCGCAAGCGACGGGTTCGACGAAAACGGTGACCGGTGCTTGAAGTACCTAAAAGCACCGTTAGTGGATCGGGAGGATCCGAAATGACGTGTTTTGGGTGACGTCGACTGCTTTCCATTCTGTCCGCAGGATCGGGAATGTAGTTACATGCGGCCACGATGAGAGGGTTCTCGTGTCGTGCTGCTTTATCAAAGTTCGCGTTTGTCGAACCACTCACCAAATCTTTGAATTTAGGAAATAGGTACAGTAAAAATAGTGGACGGGCCACGAATTTTGTATCAAATGACGAATGTGGTGTGCACCTGGGAATTGCCATAGGCAACAAGATGTTTTCCTCAGAAATCTTCAGACACTAAACAATAAAATAATTGTGTATTACTGACACTAACCGCCTTTAGTTCTTAAACCCTGCAGAAAAAAACAGTCTGAGAGAAAAAAAAACGCAATTATTACTAAGCACCCACGCTCGAAGCCGTCCTATGTGCTTAGTGCGAGTTTTTTAAAGTTCTCGATAGTGTAAAAGTTAACTCTAATTTGTATGAAGATAGAAAAGCGTCCCTGGCGGCAAACATAGGCAAACGTTCCAACTCCATACAAATTTCAGTTAACTTTGACGCTATCGAGAACGTTAAAAAACTCGCACTAAGCACAGTGAACTAAAGGATGCTCGATGCATTCGTATCGAACGCTGCGGTTGTGCCGGTGTTCGAATCCCGCAGACAGGTACAATTTTTTCTATTAAAATCCGTACTTAAATCCTGTTCACAAATTCCACGACGATGAAGGAATAGCATCGTGGAATGAAAATGAAACCCGCAATAATTATAACATTAAAAATATTATAATTACTGGTCATAGGACCTCTTGTGAGTCCGCCACCACCCTGCCTGTTTCTGCCGTGAAGCAGTAAGGCGTTTCGGGTTAAAGGGTGAGGCAGCCGTTGTCTAAGGGCTCTTTTTTTTTCTTGAGAGGCTATTTCAGCGGGACCTTAACTAGTAGGTGAGCTCACGGGGCTCAAACCTGACGACGTTGCTAACACGAACCCTAGCAAGATACGTGCTTCGCAGAATCTACCACCGGATCGGAAACACGACCCACTGAGAAGATCCAGCGAGAAACTCGGTGGGCTTTGTCTGAGGGTTAATTTACTCGTCGAGCCCTTCGTCGCAAGCGACGGGTTCGACGAGAACGATGACCGGTATAGGCTCCAGTAACCACATAACACCCATCTAAGCAATAAAAAATAAAAAAAATTTAATGACAGTGAGTCACCACGGCTAACCTTTATTAAGTAACAATAAGTTATTTTAACATTTATAGCAACAAATTAAATCTAGGTTAATCGGTGTCAACAAACGCAGAAGTGGTAAATTATTCTTGAAACTAATGTAAACATTTTTTTTGCCACTGTAGACAGAACCATGTTGCTTATGGAGCTTGACTCTAAGTAAGTATTTACAGTCGGCATCAGTCGGCGTCATTTTGAGAAGGCAGCACGACACGAGAACCTTCTCAACTTGTCCGCCGGTAACTACATTCCCGATCCTACCAACCGAATGGTAAACAGTCGACGTCGCCCAAAACATGTCATTACGGAACCTCCCGATCCACTAACGGTGCTTTTAGGTACCTCAAGCACCGGTCGTCGTTCTCGTCGAACCCGTCGCTTGCGACGTAGGGCTGGGTGAGTAAATTAACCCATAGACACAGCCCACTAAGTTTCTCGCCGGATCTTTTCAGTGGGTCGCGTTTCCGATCCGGAGGTAGATTATGCGAAGTACTGCTCTACGGTTAGTGCTGGCAACGTTCTCAGGATAGAACCCCGTGAGTTCACTTACTCATCCGAAGAATCTAGTATAACCCCTCAAGGTTACTAGAATAGGTAGGGAAAAAAATGTGCTACTTGTCTTCTGCTGCAAACAGTCACGGTTTCCGTGTCAAAAGGACGGAGAGCCGTCATACAATACAAGGGAATCTCGACCTCATGGCTTTATTTTTTCCTCAATGCGGGCGGCGTTGGTGGGCCATCAGCTCTTCTTCCATCTACAGCAATAAAAAAAACTAATCAAATTACCTTACACAGCAATTCTGTGTGTGAAACTGCGGCGACCAGCAGACGACCAAGGTTGAATGGCCCGATTCCCACGCCGGTAAAAACTGTCCTCTGTTAGCGATCGCCTCAAGGTTGCCTATTCATACGTGTCTCCAAAGATGTATAGCTAATTGTGTGCTGTTCCTACTTAATATAATGAGGTAAAACGTACGTTCGGACAAAGGAAAGTTTCATTATGGTATAATAGTCTGTATTTTGTCTGTTGACTTTAAAACGAATGGCGAATGGAACCGTGTATATTAGAAACACGATCTTGTACATTGAAATTGTATATTCATAATGATATGTAACTTAAAACTAACAAAAAAAAAAACGCTTATTTAGCAAACCGACCTAACAGTTATTAATTACACCTCTTTTTTTCCTCATATTACTTAACTGGTCAGGATATTAGAGCGAAGTTATAAAACTACATATTTTTGTATGTATTTTTGTCGGTCCTTGATGTGCGTGCCAATTTTTAAGTTAATCGGACGTCTTAAAGTCGGTTAAAATGACGTTCAAATATTCCGTAACATATTTGCAAACGTACCAAGCTAATAAAGGCGTCTATTAAAAGTAATGAATAATTTTGAAAATCAAACAAACATAGTTTTGACTTCGAAAAAACATCTGCAACCAAACTGCATCAATGTATTTTACGAATATTAGTCAATTCAAAAATCCTTATAGGTTTAATTTCATGTACTTTTAATTCAACATGAGCCGACGTTTTGAATTTTTTTTGCGAGTGCACGATTTCGTCTCGCGAAAACCTCGGGAAAAATACCATTCAGGTTTTGCTAAGGATGTACGCATGAATGAATATCACAACCTCGCCGATTTACGCTCAAATATCTGAGGTTCCGTTGCTAATGGATGAGACATCACGGCTGAATAAGCTTTGTTGTGTTGCAATGAGTTAGTGTTGTTAGCGAATGTCAAGTACGACTAGTTTGACCCCGGGCGGTTGACCTCCCATTGGTTGAACTATAATTATTTTACTCAATTATTAAAATATCTTGTATTAAATTTCTTAAGTAATTTACAATTAAGATGTTCCGAATTATAGGATTTTGAATTACATAGTTGTAGATTTACCATCAATGTTTGTTGTTGACAAGCAATTATTTTAAGATTATTTTTTTTTTGAGACCACTCTATAGCCTGGTCACGAGAACTTTAAGCCAAGTTCTAATATGTTCTTCTTATACACTAATAAAATTAAAAAAAAAATATGAAGCTAAATGGGATCATATTGAGATTAATTTGAGATTTTAATCGATTTTAGTGAAATTAAATGACTGAAATGAGATAGGATTGAATAAGGTCATAGTAAAATGGTGGTCATTTACTAAGAGTTTTAAGTGGATTTTTTTGAAGAGCCTGAGAAGACCTGAAATAGCATTTTCCCAAATTTTTTAAACCACCGACATTAAACATTTAAACCTGAAGAAACACTAACTTAAGAAAATTAAACAATTTACACAAGAAATTCACGAAATCCCGCCAAAAAGTCCCGTACCTGAGTAGAGTAGACAATACATGGGTATAGAAATTCAACTAATTCTTTAGATTCAACATATAAACGTAAATATCTAAACTATTCTAACCTTACAGTTTCTTAGTCAATAAATCAAAACATATTCTCTCATGGCACAAGGATAGCGTGTGTCGCCCAAGATCATTATTTGTAAATTAATGTTATCTTAATGTCAGAAGCACTTTGGATCAATGAACTTCCTGCTACAGCAGAATCCGTGAAAACTTCTAATTACCTCAGTACGTAGTCGATTCCTTTGTTTTCATACAAATTAAATGTTATTTTTAGTGTGGGAACAAACAAAAACGTTCATAATTGTGTTTAAGGAATAATTAAAAAATACGATTTGCGGAATTCATTTTAATAATACGTGTGTAAAGAACAAAGATTACAGTTTATTTTTACTTCTTGAGAAGACAATAACTTAGCTTAATATACGATCTTTATGCATTAAAATGGAAAGAAAATGATGATATAGTCTATATTTAAATACATTTACATTCCTAGTATCGTTCGATATACATATTTATAGTTAATATTATAATAAACTTTCACGTTATAATCTGCAATACACAATAAACATACAACGAAATCAAGTTTTGGTATCATTACACATTTTCACATTTATTACCATTCGTACAGTAATGACTGTTACTAAACAGTTAAAACTATCGCCACAACAGATTCAAGTACAAACAAAGTTGTCAAACACAGGTGGATATTCAAAAATCGTCGAACCCTATAAAGGTCATGTTGGACTGTGTCTTGGCGTCCGTAAATGCTTACTTTCCGGCCATCTCTTCGCCGTGTATTGCACGTAGCCAGGATCTGTGGGTGTTCCTGAAGCCCTTCCCTCGGCGTCTGTTGGCTCCTTTTCCTCGATGGGCTCCATGGGGAATATCGCCGGCGTATCAGCCCTCCGTGACCTCGACGATCCTCGCAAGTAGTCTTCAAGTTGCTGTAAGGTCGGCGTGCTAACTGTCTTAGCTTTAGATGGCGATTTTGAGCGCTCCCTTTGATCGTTACTTGAGGATTCGTCGTCGAATAGGTTCTTTGGGCGTCCGGGCTTCAGTTTAGCAAAAACAGGGGTTTGCGGTTCGGGTAGATAGTTCTCTCTAACTGACAATTTCCCTGAAAAATTGTCTAAATATTCCCTGAAATATCGGTCGTTGAACTTTGCCAGCTCCTTCTCGTAGTGCAGTCGGTCAGGCTCAGGCATTGGATCCGAAAGCCGGACGTAGTTCTCCATTCCGAATCCGTTCCTCAATGAGCCAAACTTTGATTTTTCGAGAGCGTCTTTTTCCATTTGATCTAATTTCGTCAAGGCAAGTTTCGTTTCGTCAAAGAATTTAGTCTCTTCTTTTTTATCTTTTTCCAGTCTGTTCATTTCCAAATCGAGATCTTTCGGTCTTTCGGCCGAGACGAACCCGTTCGACTTCTCGCTGGTTAGTTGCCCGTTTATTGGGGCAGCTATAGAAACCTTCTTCTCAACTTTAGGGGACGATATAGGGTCGGTCTGGGAGTGATTTGTAGCAGTATACGACCTCGGACCCATAAGGTCTACGAGGAATAATGCTGCGACAAATAATGACAGACTTCCTAGTACTGATGCATTGACAATGAGGTTACTCGGAACTGAATCCAGAGACGCTAACTCCAAGCCACCTGGAAAATTGTTGTCGTCAATCAAATCCCATTTTGTTAAATAACGTAGGTACAAGCACATGCAATTGTAGTTGGGCATTTGGTTGGCCCGTTACAAAAAGGATACGCACTGTGTTTACAATTGTGCATATCGTTTAAGATTGAATTATCTGGGAAACATTATTTTATTTAAATTTACCTTAAGTGGAAGAAAAAAATAAAAGATCTCACAGCACCTTACACACATGGTTAGGAATTACATATATGCATATTTCACTTTATGAAAATGTTTGTCTTATCCATTAATTGTAATAAAGTTTTATCTCTTACCAAGAACAAGGAAGAATAGCATTCCGAGTCCGAGAAAAAACCCTTCCAATAGTCTCCGGCCCTTCGGTAGCTCCTGGAGTACCCTGCCCAGCATCAGTCCGAACGTGATTATCATGTAGCCTACATGAAGAAATCAAATAATAGATTAGAATTGTTACAGCATTCAATCAATTTTAAAAGTTTGTAGTATAGAATATAGAGGATAGATGATAGAACAGAAGGGAAACAGAGAGGAATAGAAATATGCTAATTTTATTATTTTGCATGTTGTTGAACACAGACGAGTAGTCAACCCACCTAATATTAAGTTATGGTGGTAGGACCTCTTGTGAGTCCGCACGGATAGGTGACCGAATCAAGAAATTCCGTAACGAAAATAAAACCTAATACCCCCCACTCTGCCTACTATGTAGCTCGCGTTCAACACATTCACACGTTCCGCTTTTGTGTAGTGTTTGAGAATAAGGGCGCGGCGTGACGTCGCACTGCATGCGCATCATGAAAAGTCTGCCCATCTCTCTCTCGCGCGGTTTAGCTTATGAGTGTGAAGAGGATAGTTAATGTTTTACTTTTGTTAATGTTTAAAAATATAACGTGGTCTTATTTTATTATTGTTTTAATAGTAAATTATTATTGTCTTATTGTAAATTATAATTGCATAAGTTGATAAAAAATACTATACAATAGCTTTACCGCAGCAGCCCCCGAGTGCCACACGTGTTTTTATTTTATTTTATTGTAAGCAATACACCTAATGGTGGGCGGACGAGCTCACGGCCCCCTGATGTTAAATATTGCCCTAACCACTGTCTAATTTTTAAAACCTAGAATTTATTGATATATACATTTATTTGCACAATAACATGTATTATTTGAGGTTTCGCAGTTTATTCGTTCAGATTGTCGATAATGCCATTCTTACGGATCGCTTGGAACATCTGGGTCTGCGGAGGGACTTCGGTTCCCTCTGTATTTTGTATCGTATGTTCCATGGGGAGTACTCTGAGCAATTGTTTGAGATGATACCATTATCTCGTTTTTACCATCGCACCGCCCGCCACCGGAATAGAGTTCATCCATACTACCTGGAGCCACTGCGTTCATCCACAGTTTGTTTTCAGAAATCTTTTTTGCCGTGTAGGTACCATCCGGATTTGGAATGAACTCCCCTCCACGGTTTTTCCCGAGCGCTATGACATATCCTTCTTCAAACGAGGCTTATGGAGAGTACTTAACGGTACGCAGAGGTTTGGCTCTGCCCTTGGCATTACTGAAGTCCAGGGGCGGCGGTAACCACTCACCATCAGATGGGCTCGTTCGTCTGCACACACGAGCAATAGAAAAAAAAAATCGCATTGGAGTTTCATCTTCACGATAAAATAATCCAGAGATAAAGATAAAAAAACCTAATTCTAGATTAACTTACGGTACGGTTACAAAATCCCCTAAGCCTGCTCCTAATGCTAGAGCTGAAGGCGTCTAATAATAGTATTTAGAGAATCGAAAAGATTTGTGTGTTTTATGGTTGTTTTGTTTTTAGTCTTATTTATTGATTCAAAGTTTAAAATACATATCAACAGCATATCAATGCGTCCATATATAACCGGTTCGCGAGACAATGTACAGCTAATAATAGTAATAACAACATACAATAATTATTTAAAACGCATTAATTCGAACTGCGTACCTGACGGACGCCATTACAATCATGAAGAGCAATTATATTGTTAGAATTTAAATATATAAATAATTTGTTTTGTCGTATAAAGTTTACGTTAAGACTGATTTCGCATTACTACATTATCTGTTTACGTTTCATCTTTGAATATATAAAAATGAATTGCTGTTCGTTAGTCTCGCTAAAACTCGAGAACGGCTGGACCAATTTTGGTCTTGAATTATTTGTGGAAGTCCAGAGAAGGTTTAAAAGGTACATAAATATGAAAATGCTCGGAATTAAATAAAAATAACAATGTTGTTTTTCCTTTGATGTGTCCCCCCCGTCGGACGGATTCCTTTTGTTTGTTTTAAGTTTATTTTATACAAAAGCTTACGTCTTTTATTTATCGATTGAGACTACGAAGTCTGCCGGGTCAGCTAGTTTCAAATAATTAAATATTTGACATTAATCTTGGAAATCGTATATACATTAAAGCGCTTATGGTCTGTAAAATATGTTGACCACTTTCACAGTAAGCAACTTTAAAGGTATATTTTACGGCAAGCCGTGCTCCTGGCATTGCCCTTGTCCGTGGCCGATACTAACAATTGAGGGACTTTGAAGATTAATGTATGTCTCTTTATATCTATTTACTGGAAATAATTGTACTCCCCGTTTTAATACAAAACTTTAAACAAACTCTAACTGGAATAGCCCCATAGCCTACCATAGGCCCCATAAAAAAATAGGCCCCGAAAAAATGGGAAAGCTGTGAGAAAATAAACATCACACATATTGTTCTGCCAGACTAATGAAATATTAACGCGAAAGGTATAAAAAATCAAGTCGAGATGACAATTTTCTATAATACCCTTGGCAATTCTGCAATAGCCTCATAAAATCTTACCTCCGTAAATAGCATCAGCGAATGCTCCCCCGACCGAGTCCCACGTGACTGAAGTAAGCAGCGACCACTCCCGGGACAGCTTCTGGAGAAGCAGCGCCAGCCGGGCCTCGTCATCCTGCGAGACCCGCCGCGCCACCAAGCACGCCACGCAGAACAACTACATTGAATTAAAAACAAAACTTAGTACATAGCTACTACAGTCGTTATTCTTCTCACGTCTTTACGGATCCATTAGATCCAATAACACTTGCATTAGACGCCTTCAGCTCTAACGCTAGGAGCAGGCTTAGGGACCCCGGACGGTACTCGTCGTCTAGTGCATCAACCCGCTGAGTTTCTCGCCAGGTCTTCTCAGGGGATCACGATTCCGCTCAGGTAGTAGATTCGTTCGCGAAGCAGCTGCCCTTAAGTTGTTAGGTCTCCTTGAGAGGCGATCGGCCAGCTGTTAGCTAATCCCACCCCTTTTTTGCTGACCCTTTGCTCGCCCACCAGTCTTGGTGAAAGTGGAAAGGCGTACGGGCCACCAGTAATTCTTCAATAAAAAAAATCTTCTTCGTCTTATCAATCATTTCATTCTTGATAGAGTGGTCATCGTGTAGTATTGGAGGCAACTAACTTTTTGTTTATTTATTGCCTTTCTAGGAAGACATCAGCAATACCAGGTGCATGGCCAAGTCGCTGCCTACCACTAAGTGCTCTCCGCAAGCCTCGTTTGAAGAAAGTCGTGTCATATCGCTCATCTTGACCCGTTTCACAATGACCCGCCGAACTAGTCATATTAGTAGTAAAATCGTTGCGACGGCTGCGCTTACCCTAACGTTTGTGCGGTAGCTAACTAGTTTTCATACCTGATACGTGTTCAAGATATTTAAAAATACCTTAGGCCGTGACATTTAGTGACAAAAGTATGTTGCAAAATGTTAATTAGTAAAAGATTATAATTACGTAGACAAATGTGACAACTATCATGAAAGACCCGTACCACCAACCTGACTATGTTTGTCGCAAAACTGTCATGCGTTCCGGCTTGAAGGGTGAAACATGTTACACAATGCATCTGAGACTACCACCTCACTTAACATCAGGTAGACGAGCTCATCGACAGTAATACATTTCTTTTGCAATACCAGCAATTACGCCAAAACATACCTGTCCATCTTAATTAAGGAAAAGTACATTACGAACATAGATTAGTTCAAATATTTTAATTACGTATACAAATGTGTCAATTACTTGACAAGTCGTTAAAGAATCATAAAGATATACTGAGAAAAGATTTTCCTACGTAATTTTTCAGAAAAGTTCGTATTTATCGTGCTCTCTCAAATAGCTTCAGTACAATGACATTATTCATTTTGACATTTGATACTAAACAATAAAGTTCCATATTAATCATAGATACTGATGTATATGAAAATGTCACTCATTTAAAACGATCATTCATTTATTGACAGTTCGGGTGTCATAGTATTCCGATAAAGATCAGAGTTTTCCCGAAGGAAAATAATTTCACACTACATTGATAGCACATTTTACGATGCCCCCTTCTGTGTGCTTAGTGCGAGTTTTTTAACGTTTTCTATAGCGTAAAAGTTAGCTCATGTTTGTATGGAATCGTTTACGTACGTTTGCCGCTACGGGCGCTGTTCCAACTGCATATAAAATTGGCTAACTTTTACGCTATCGAAAACGTTATGAAACTCGCACTAAGCACACAGGATTTTTTTATTTATTGCCGAGATGTGTGGACGAAATCAAAGCCCACCTGGTGTTAAGTGGTTACTGGAACCCATAGACATCTACAACGTAGACGCCACCCACCTTGAGATACAAGTTCTAAAGTCTCAGTATTGTTACAACGGCTGCCCTACCCTTCAAACCGAAACGCATTACTGCTTCACGGTAGAAATAGGCAGGGTGGTGGTACCTACCCGCGCGGACTCACAAGAGGTCCTACCACCAGTAATTACGCAAATTATAATTCTGCGGGTTTTTTATTTTTATTACACGATGTTATTCCTTCACCGTGGAAGTCAATCGTGAACAATTGTTAAGTACGTATTTCATTGGAAAAATTGGTACCTACCTGCGGGATTCGAACACCGTTGCATCGCTATATACGAATGCACCGGACGTCTTATCCTTTAGGCCACGACGACTTCATAACTGTTATCGCATATCCCTAACAATAACAACCAAAATCGATACATTTCAACAAAAACATATCCACTGCAGCGGTAGTTGCAGAGGAACATAATTTTTTCCGTTGACTGCGATAGTTCCTCACCGCTCAGTGACGTCACAACAAATCGTGGGAGTGACTTTGAACTGCCTGACTATGGATAAACGACACAATAAACACACGTGCTATGAATGCTTATACGTCAAGGGTTCAACTTGTTACACAATATTTTGGTGGAATTATTACGCGCGCAAACTAAACAGGCCCGTAATGCTGTGGAAGACGGGCAGATACTTATTGTGCATTAACCAAATAACCAGAGAATACTCGGCATCGTTTGGTTGGATCATAGATAAACGTAAGATAAATCACGTCTAAGATACAAAACAGGATACTATCTTTAGCATTTACAAATTTACAAAGTAAGGGCGCTTTGTACCAAATGCTATTCAAATGTATGACATGTGCTTCTTCAAACGAGGCTTGTGGAAAGTACTTATAGGTAGGCAGCGACTTGGTTCTTCCCCTGGCATTGCTGACGTCCATGGGCGACGGTAATCACTCGCCATCAGGTGGGTATACTCGTCTACAAGGACATTAAAAATCTTTTAAATTTGATTTTAAAACTACTCTAAATAAATTTAAATAGAGTTCTCTAATAAACAATTGGATTCCTTAAAAATCCTTACTTCAGGTGGGTCACATTTAAAACACGTATTTTTAGAGATAATAAATTGATTCGACTCCAAAACGACCTAGCAGCTACGTGCGCATACCCCGCCTGGTCTTAAGCTAATAAAAGATCGATAATTAACAATAATTATAATTACAATTATAACCACTTCAAAATAGGTTCACATCAGCGAAAAGCTATAGGTACTATCACATTAAAAAGTATTTTTTTCACATTGGTATTAATTTACTAACCATGTCAGCCACTTTTTTTTTTTTTTTTTTTTTTTTTCCCACAGGAGAAAATCGCCGGATCCCCACCCGCGCGGCAGGTGGGGTATGTGGGAGTTGAACCTCACTAAAAACTCCTGCCGCTCACAACCGGCGCCCTACCTCGGACCGGGCCGGAGCCCAGTCGGGGCTATTGAAACGGCGGGACAGGGTTGACGCAGAGCACATTACATCCATCCCACCGNTATAATTCGGATGATTTACAGTGTTACTCCTCACTTGAGAAGTAATTACTTCTATGTTGGTCATACGAAATGACGACCTATTAATTTTGTATGATGATTCATATAGTAATTACATTTATTTTACCTACGCAGCCATGACAGAGTATACTGACTTTTTCATTGATATTAAAACGTGTTTTTATTACCTACGAATTATAATTATGAGAAAAAGCGTGAGATCAATCTTCTGAATAAACTAAAAATTAGTCATAACATAATTGCCTCTCATGATCAAAACTGAAAATTTTCCGCAAAATACTTGTTTACTGTCTTATTACTTTTAATACTCAAACTAACAAAAAAACAAACAAAAGACGAGATTACTTACGAATATATAATATTAAGTATATATTATATTATTATGAATATATTTTATTATAACAGCTATTTGATTTAAAATATATTTTAAACTTGCGCGTCATATTTTTATAACAAGTTTATTAATTGACTCTTATTTAATAAGGCACTGTTTAAATACCATTGTTCTGTCTACAAACTTGACTACCTTTACGTTAGAAATATGTAAATAGTAAAATAGGAATTACTTAAATGTTCCAGACCACACGGTCTACAGTTTGTCAGTTATACCAATCTCGTTTATAACAAAATTTAGAGGAGAAGATATCAAATCTAAAGCCCCTAACTGACTTCAAATGCATAAGGTGGATTTTCTCAAATGAGTGCGTAGGTGTGTTTTATTTTTGTAAGGCAAGATCTAATTGAATTAACATCAGTCACAGGACTAATTTCAAGAGATATGTGGGAGGTGTAGATGTCAAGTTAAATAAGACGCACACTATAAAATTAGCACGTAAAAATCGAAATGAGTTAAAGGTCAAACTTCCTCTAATTATTGTCGACTAACTTGGCTAATTGTTTGCAGCACGAGATTGCGTGGCTGTCAATTTTTATAAATCTTCATTTATTTGGCAAATATCTAAATATATGTAATTACGATTTTGCAATTGGATGCCGAAATACAAAGTCTTTTTAAAACAAGAACGTGCGTTAATTACGCAATTAAAACTAATATTTTTTGTGTCTATTTGTGAATCATTTTATGTCTTTTATATTGTTATAAAACAGACGAGCTGTTCTGGTACTAATTTATTAACGAAATCCTACACTAAAACTTAATCTACATTAAGATATAAGACTGAAACCTCACTTGGGATACGTGCCGAATTCATACCAAACCGCAGGATTATTTCGATAGCTCGGATTTTCCTGCGGTTCACAACACTTCCCACCGGCTACCACAGACAATGATTACCCAAATTATATTTTTTACGTTTTTTTTAAGTCCCTTGGATTTGGAAATAGTATAGTAACTGGCAAGATTGCAGGCAAAAGATCTCGTGGCCGCAATCCAATGCGCTGGTCTGACCAAATCCGCACCACTCTGGATACCACAGTCTACGATGCCAAACACACCGCCGAGAACAGAGGAAGATGGCGAAACATCATCCAGAGAAGGATAATAGGAGGAGATGGTCACGACCCTCGGACATGAGGAATGCTACTAAAGGAGGATTTGGAAATACAAATTACCGACTAAAAATCCTTATAACAGTCAAGCTTACAGTCAACCTAGTGGTTAGTCAGGGGTGTATCCAAATTTCAATCTACCACGAAGAAAACTCGTTTATAAAGGTAATGTAAGTGGAAATGTAAATAACACTTTGTAAACACCACGGATGGCGTTATATCGGATATCGGATGTTACGTAGTAAAAAATATTTATGGAAACGCACTGTAGGTCAGCGTAGTGACTTAATGTACTAGTATCTTTATACTGAATTGAAATATTTATGCCATAATTTTTCAAAAATAAACATGATTGACCCAACCAATGAATGTTTTTAATGATTATTCGAAATTTGATTTTATTATAAATATGAAATTTAAAAAAAATGTTACAACGATTGTTATAACATTTTTTTATACTACGATATCGTGCTTTTAAACAAACAAGTTTTTTTTCTTAGCCGACTCAAAAACGTCTTCCCAATTCGGAGGTTTTTAAGATTATAATTTTTATATCAAATTTTATTTTATTGTGAATTATCTTTGTTAATTTATTTTGAACTTAGCATATACCGCGAGATGTAAAAGTTAACGAGTATATAAACAGCTATAAACGTTCGGCTGTTACGTACATACATGTATAAACTGGGTGTTTAAAAGTTACTCAGAGTTACATCTATAACGTGGTGCATCGCTAGGTATAATAGAACAGAGTAGATTTGACAAAAACCTGAATCGCGCTAACGAAACTTTCACAATCTTTGCATATAATATACAAATTTCGATCAATGATATTTGGGCCTGCAGTTCTGTAGGAGAAAAACACACGTTCGGTGGGAGGTCTTCGTTTTGTTATTTTCCACGTTTGTATTGGATTGGAGTCAAATAGACTTATTCGAAAGAGAGAAAATTCCCTTATTACCTGCAGTGTACCTGATGTAAATGTGCTTACGTTTTTTTTTATTGCTTAGATTGGTGGACGAGCTCACAGCCCACCTGGTGTTAAGTGGTTACTGGAGCCCATAGACATTCACAACGTAAATGCGCCACCCACCTTGAAATATAAGTTCTAAGGTTTCAGTATAGTTAAGTGTTTTTTTATTGTTTAGTTTAGTGAAAAAGCTCACGGCCCACCTGATGTTAAGTGGTTACTAAAGCCCATAGACATCTACAACCCAAATGCCGCCACCCAACTTGAAACAAGAATTCTAAGGTCTCAGTTTTTACAGTACAACGACTGCTCCACCCTTCAAACCGAAACCCATTACTGCTTCGCGGCAGAAATAGGCAGGGCCATCGAAGCCTTACAAATCAAATGCTTCAGCATGCCCTAAGACACTAGAACGATGCCTCAATTGTATTCTACACTATCCTACCCTACCAACAAAGGGGAATGCATGCCGACAGGATGGGGAGTACCTACCCCTACGGGCTCAAAAGACGCTCCAACTTTGGTTCTGCACTTAAATGCAATTCGAATTAATATTCTTAAGGATATTTCTTATGATTAAATCGCACATCACATTTTATGTTAATTAAAGCTTCAAAACAATTATTTTTAATGACACATTTAAATGTTATGTGTGAAGCAACATTGGGTTTGTTAGTAAACCGAACCAATAACGATTACCAAACGAAGCCTTTCTACATATGATGTAACTACTCACGAATTCGACTATCTTGAGCGCGACCCACTTGTCGCATACAACCATGGCGATAAACTTTACACAACACTACCGAATCCCAACTGTGTACGGCATTAGACTCATAGTCTGCAGACGACCGCCCGACGCGGCTGCAGCGCTTTGAATACGGCGAGTGCTAGGATCCGTAGAGAAACGACATTGAAAGGGCTCTTTGTCGCATCGATGCAAATACCTTAGATGCAGGCGATAAATCGTAATGTGTAGTTTGAGCCGGTCGATTAAGCAATTTATACTTTATTTTATAGGAAGATACTTGTCGCGCTAACTAATTGCGTTAAGCTTGTGATTATCAGAGATTACTGCTATAGATTAGTGATCGCGTCCAGGCACCGACCCTGTTTCTGCCTCAAAGGAGCAGCGCTTTTCGGCTTAAAGGCTGGAACGCCAATTACACAATAAAATTAAACTACGTGGATGGTTCATGGGGTTGTCTATTTAATCTGTAGTAAAGTCTAAGAACTCAAAAAAGTACAGTAGTTAAGTTTCTTGTAACTAGTTGTCAATTGATAAACTTTTTAGAACATACAGATTGAAGAATACTATTATAAATTTGCTTTTTTTGGCCACTAGGGCACAGGGACCTTACACCTCACCGTCCTGCGGCTGTTGAGAAGAAGATGAATACCATGTTAGACACAAATAGGCGAATTTCAACCCAGCCCTTCAAATCTAAATGCATAANAGTAGTTAAGTTTCTTGTAACTAGTTGTCAATTGATAAACTTTTTAGAACATACAGATTGAAGAATACTATTATAAATTTGCTTTTTTTGGCCACTAGGGCACAGGGACCTTACACCTCACCGTCCTGCGGCTGTTGAGAAGAAGATGAATACCATGTTAGACACAAATAGGCGAATTTCAACCCAGCCCTTCAAATCTAAATGCATAACAGCTTCGCGGTTGAAATCTACGAAGTATATCTATAGAAAAATATTATTTGTCCTGTATGCGCTCTTAATCCTAAGCCTAATGACAGAAATATCATAGTACCTACCATAAACGTAAAAATGGTGGCACGCCGCGAGTAGTTTAATGACATCGATGTTTTAAATACAGCAAGACGTTTTCAAAAGGGACAGTGGCCTGGTTTCTTTACTTTACTAATAAAAACATCTAAAGGCCGAGATCGTATAACCGTATCTTCTAAAACAAAAACAAAATTATATTAGATTTTGCGCCCAAACTATTGTATCAATTTTTTTTGGCGGAGAATAATACTAGTGACCTATTGCTGTTTCTGTTCATTATTGAATTGCCTAGTTAAATTCCTAATTCAACCACAGACCGATTTTGGAAACTATATATTGAAGACAAAGGTAGGAATGTAGAAGGTAGGTGCCTCTAAAACATCATACTTTACCGTTAGTATCGTTCTCCTAAGCATAATTAATATAAAATATTAGAAACGAGGCTTGTGGAGAGTTTTTTTTTTATTGCTTAGATGAGTGGACGAGCTCACAGCCCACCAGGAGTTAAGTGGTTACTGGAGCCCATAGATATCTACAACGTAATTGCGACACCCACCTTGAGATATAAGTTCTAAAATCTCAGTATAGTTACAACGGCTGCCCCGCCCTTCAAATCGAAACGCATTACTGCTTCACGGCAGAAATAGGCAGGGTGGTGGTACATACCCGCGTGGACTCACAAGAGGTCCTACCACCAGTAAACCAGTACCAAAGTATTAAACGGTAGGCAGCGGCTTGGCTCTGCCCCTGGCATTGCTGACGTCTATTAGCGACGGTAACCACTTACCATCAGGTGGGCCGTATGCTCGTCTGCCTACGCGGGCAAAAAAAAAAACAGACCAGTGAAATGAATGCATATATTTTAATGCGGTATTTTTAGTTGCCTTTTTCGTTATCTGTTCGAAGTCAGCCAGCCGTGTTATCTATCGCTTTTAACAGTAGCTTATCACCTTAGGTTCCAATAGGTGAAGTAATGCACTGCACAATTAGGATGGAAAATCATTTATCATCGTTATTCTTATACGTGAAGTCGTCGTGGCCTAAAGGATAAGACGTCCGGTGCATACGTGTTGAGCGATGCACCGGTGTTCGAATCTCAGGCGGGTACCAATTTTTCTAATGAAATATGTACTCAACAAATGTTCACGATTGACTTCCAAGGTGATGGAATAACATCGTGTAATAAAAATCAAAATCAAACCCGCAAAATTATAATTTGCGTAATTACTGGTAGTAGGACCTCTTGTGAGTCCGCGCGGGTAGGTACCGCCGCCCTGCCTATTTCTGCCGTGAAGCAGTAATGCGTGTCGATTTGAAGGGTGGGGCAGCCGTTGTAGCTATACTGAGACCTTAGAACTTATATCTCAAGGTGGGAGGCGCATTTACGTTGTACATGTCTATGGGCTTCAGTAACCACTTAACACCAGGTGGATTGTGAACTCGTCCACCCATCTAAGCATTCTTCTTTAACGTTCGCTTACTGCTGGGCATCGTGACCACTTGTAATTTTTCTTCTCCTTAAACTATCACCAACTGCTTTCGTGGTTATTAAAATATCGTCCAGTTCTTTAAAACAAGTTTGTTCGTCAAGAAAATTATTAGATTTTCATAATATAACGCCAGATAACATTATTTGTTGAAGTTGAACACACTCCAAAAAACGAGGTGTAACGGAAATTAGAGTTGACATTAGAACGTAATTTTTGAGTAAAAATACATACAATAAAACATTTATTTGCCCAATCGTTGCAACTTACAATTCAAAACATTCATTTATTTATTAGGCCTTATGTCTATATCTAAGGCCTATGTCCAGCAGTGGGCAGATAAAGGCTGATGATGATGATGATGATGATGATGATGATGATGATGATGATTTATTTATTGCACTTAGATACGTTGAAATAACGACAATTCAAAGTTAATGAGAAATAATAAACCTATAACGTGAACAATGGGCAGACTTACCGCTGAAACGCATCTCTTCCAGTTAATCTTACTTACTCCCAAACTACTTACCTCCGGGACATCGAAATTGTTGTTTTAAAGTATATAAGGTGAATATAGGCATTTACAAAAACACGTAAATTAAGTGCATTATTGTATAAAAGACAGGAGAACCCAAGTGTAATCTATCGGATAGTTTTCTTTGACATCGATTTAAAACAGCGATGTTCTAACATCCAGGTTTTAAGTAAAAATATAGATGTTCTAATATCGATGTTTTTATGTATTATATCCCATCCCTATACAGTGTGGAAGTTACGGAAACCATAGACCTATATAGTAGGGACACGACACATTGTTCTATACGTACAATTGCTTATATAAATAGCACCCATTTTGAAGGCACACACATAAACATATATCTATCTCGTTCTTACTCAGCACTTTAACTCGCAGGGAAACAATATAACAGTATTTCAGTGCGTACATAAAATGAAACATGAATATACGTAAATATCTCCGTCTCCGTCTAATGAGGCCGAAAATCCGCCATGTTGTGCGCACCAAATGTCATTGTCACGTCAGTTCGGCCGTCTGTTTTGGGTTGTACATTAATTATTGACTTTGATATCGATCTAATATGATTGCTTATATAAAATTTCATAATTTATCATGCTTAGAACATACAAAAATAATAATTAAAACGTATTTTATAGGATCTCAAGAAAGTCGATGTCCTAAAACTATTATCTATATGTATTTAAATTCATTATGGAGCCCTCATCCGAAAAATCCATTTTTCGGTCGGAATCTATTGATCATGACACTAATCATAAATACCACTTTAAAATATGTCATCAAAACATATTTAGACATTCTGTTTAGATATTTCGGGAAAAAGGCTACCGACAAAATCTCTTCGGAACTATTTAAATAAAATAGTTTTATTCCGCAGTGAGTAAAACACTATTGTAAATTTGTTAAATATTTAATAATTAAGTGATTTTAGAGAGGAAGTCACAAGGAATGACGTTTGTAATTAATGAATAAATGTTCTGTAGGTGTTTTTTTTTTCACGCGGTCCCTTGATAAGTTTAAAATTTGAATCACTCTCAAGCGAAAGTGATTCAAATGGTGCGGCGCACCTTCCTTGGGGTGCGCTGCGGTAGTATGTTACGGACTTTAGAGTCAGCAAAACAATTAAAATAGATTGTAATAGTCTAAGAAAAACACGTACTCAAAATACGATAACATTTAGCATGCTAGAAATGGGCTGATGGCTTTGAACTACGCCATATCTTTATGTTTTGCGACAAACGACAACTTTATAAAATCAGTGTAGCAACTTTTAAAAATCATCATATCGTTTACTTGGCAAATTCGAAGGACGAACTTGTCTTAGATTTCACCCATCTAAATCATATCATATTTGCACATAACAATATACCTACTTACTTCCCATTAAAGTATAAATTCTACAAATAAATAATACTCAACAATATTTAAAATAAAATGAGCCAAGAACGTTTATCGATAAAACCTGATAACATTGAAATCTTTTGTACAGCACTAAAGCCGCCATGTTTTGTGGCCAGATGACGTCACAGTGGCACGAAATTTTGGTTGACGTTTCATTTCCATAGGTTTCCTACTTCATTGACGGAAACAGACAAGGAGCACGAAATAAAACAAACACATACATGAAACGTTTTACTTAAATTTATTAATCAATACCAAGCATGCATTATTAAAAATCTCACAAAACCCAGAGATAAATTCATATTTTCTGCGTAAAAACGTATTAAGATTCTGTCTGATATTCGCAAGAAATTAATTTCATTACAGAGTTAAACCGCTGAGAAAACAATTTCCAAATTGATTAATTAACCTTATAAACCTGATTTTAAATAGACTTATTCATACACAGAAATAGTAAATTAAAACATGAATATTTTATATTTGCGTTGAAAAAATATCAAAAAATTGAGATTGGTTGCAATACGGGCTTCGATAGGCCTCACTCCACCAGAAGTTGTACATCTTAATTAATTCATATTTCATATTCTAAATCCACGCGACGGGTTTTAGACAAACGATGTCGCATCAAGCTTCGAATTTAATACATAAATTAAATAATAATTAGATTCCGAATTAAAATATAATTGAAATTAAATTTAAAAAATTCTAAAGTCTAAATTTACCTCTCATTCAAACTTAAGAGTGTGAAGAGACATTTAATAGTTTGTAAAAGAAATGAATCAAGTTACAACTTTGTAATCTAATGTAAGAAAAATCCATGCATTTACAAAACTTAATTACAGGACCAATCAACTATTTTAAAATTTATAATTTAAAAAATGGTTTTATGAAATCAACTAACTGCTGATTTATACAACAGATGTTTAATGTCAAATCTGTTACCATTCTTAAAATTACCCAAAGTTGTATGTTAATTTTTAAACTGTACAAATCCTTCACACTCCAATCATACCGTCAATCATACCGACTAAATGTAGGAGAAAGCAATCTTAATTCATGCAATTAATTTTATCATTGACAAAATCGAATTACAATACTAAATTCTTATTGAGGTAAATATGCAGTAATATGATAATTTATATAATTTTCACTTGACCCTTGATAATCATTTATTTTCCATTTTATTAAAGTTTAAAGATATCTAAACCAAAAGTGCCAATGGCTGATTCACATGTATTTACAATAAACACTCGATTTTAGGTACAATTAATTCTACTGTTCTAATAAGTAGTAATAGTTGTAGAAGCAGTGAATATTGAACACTAAGTAAAAAAAATTGTTACATATAACTTAAACAGATGACCTTTTCGTTAGTACGAGAGGACTTCTCCATTTTTAATCTTGAAATTTACAAACTCTGCTCCAACAATCTCGTTTGTTAATTTAACTAAAGTGTGCGTGCGAGAATATTACATTACTTACACGCATCAGGTCTGGTGACATGAAATTATTATAATATCAAACTACTTTTAATATGAATAGAAACAGTTCAGTACCATTTTCTAATGTTTTGTTTTTTGTTTTTTAAATTGCTTATTGACGTGTTTTTGTTTTATAAATAAAAAATTGGAAACCGTTACTTTTTTTCAAGCTATAAGAGAGAAAAAACTTTAGAGAAAAACGGTCTTCTACGCTTTAAGCGTAATTAGATAATTTGAAACTTATCCATCACAAATAATTTATTTGTTCATATAATTTCATGCATAAATAATATTTACATATAATAAATTAAACCAAAAAACTCAATACCTTCAAAATGTAATCATTTATTTTTTCAACAGCGCGCGATGCAACGTCTCATGCTAAAAGACACAATTTACCCAAAGGCCTCAAGACTTCAACAAAACAAAAGCAAAAATATAAGACTTAAAACAAAATCCAAATCTTGAGAAGTCAGTGATTTTAGCAAAATTGCGTCCACTGGACAAACACTGGTACATGTAAATCAGCCATCAATAATGTAATAAACAATATTCACAACAGGTCAGTAGTGACGTAGTAATTAGATTCTCACACCTAAAACTGGTACTTCTGAGAATAATTTGGTTTTTCGAATATTTCGAATCTTCCAAAGATAATTTTTTTATTCCAACGAAAAGCAACAAATTGCGTTCGTGAACATGATCTACGTAATAATGTTGCTCAAAAAGAATTTATAAAAATAATTGAGTTATTAGTTTTACATATCTGATTAATGTCATTAATTTAAGAAGACCATTCATCCTAATTATCCTATTTGAAAACAAGATTAATACAAACAATTTGTATAGTTGTATTAATACTGCATATGTACCTCGTAGTTTTTTATAATTAATGGAACTGGACTTATCGCGCTTCTTTCCCGTGTATGAACTCGTACATGGGATGCGGTGCGGTCCAGGGATTGAAGTCGTCCCGTGTCGGCACGAGGGGCCGCGCCGGGGGGCCGGGCGGGGGGCAGGGCGGGGGAACGGCGGGGGCGCGGGGGGCGGCGGGCGGGGGTGCCCACACTCGCTCTTGCAGCCCGCCCACCGACAGCGAGCCCATCGACGCCGACAGATACTCTAGGCCGCTCGACATGCGGTTCGACCATCTGAGGATATTACATCAACTTACAACTAGTCTATTTATTTATTGTCTAGATGGGTGGATGAGCTCACAGCTCACCTGTGTTAAGTAGTTACTAGGGTCCATAGACATCTACAACGTATATAAGTTCTAAGGTCTCAGTATAGTTACAACGGCTGCCCCACCCTTCAAACCGAAACTCATTACTGTTTCACGGCAGAAATGAGCAGGGTGGTGGTACCTACCCGTGTGAACTTACAAGAGGTCCTACCACCAGTAAAATTTATGTCTCTCCAGTGCCACGACCTACCTGAATACAACCGTATATCTTGAGCTATGAGAGATCAAAGCCCCAACGACTTACTCTATCAATGAACTTATCCTACAACTGCTACAGCCCGACGACCTACCTGTTTAGTCTACAAAAGAACAGGCAGTATTGACAGAACATTAATACAAATCAGTACTAACCTAATCCACAAGGAACATTATAGAGTGCTAAGAAACAGCATACAGCCGCTTATCACACTTTTAAGACACCTTAGGCTTGATGCCTAAGCTATAAACAACGACATGTAACAACTTACTGATTCATGTAACAGAGAGAAAGAATTTTCATATTTACAAATTTCTATGTTTTAGAGAAATTCAGAGAAGTTAATAATTTAGAATAGAATTAACTGCTGAAAATTCTAATATTCTCAACAGCTAAGCTTTGGCTGAAAGGAATGTCATATTGTGTAATAAAATGACTAGACCAGGACTGACAGTTTCCAAGAGCTTCGAATGCGACTAATCCTACCTGACTTATAGTTATTTCTCTATAGCTTGTTGAGAAGCATCTAGAATGCCGCTAGGCTATTAATAAATGTAGTTAGTTCAACAAAGAGGAAAAAATGCTTGTCTACTCACTCTACGGCGGCGGCGTTACGTTGCGCCTCTTGTATCATGCGGAGCCGACGAGCCTGCGACCAGGGCTCCAAAGTGTACGAAGCATTGCAGGGCGAAGCGCCCGGCGAATCCTCCGGTACACGCGTCAGCTCCACGCCGCGCTCAGGGCTCCAGCGCCCAATCTAAACGTAACAGCGTCACATTACACCCCAGACCAACAGAATGTCGGGGCACGTTATTATCGACAAAGCTAAATTATTAAGGGATTGTAAAGCAGACCAAAAACTGTTTTATTAAATTCAATTAATTTAATATTGTCATTTAAATTTGAAAAAGCACAGCACTACCTCCTTTTTCACCGTGTACCCAACCCACCCTATAGGGCGTACCGAAAGATTTATGGGAAATCACAACGTAATGTTATCAAATATTCGTATCAAAAAGCTGTCGAAACAATAAATATTTTTATACTCACCAAATCAAAGCTGGCATGTAAATATATAGACGAAAATTTTATTAATTACAAAAACAAAGGTTTCCTCTCCTATTCTATTAAATAAATGGGAACATCTTAACGTGGATATCACAGACAGTTTTAAATCTACCTTCCTCATTTATTTCAGTATTATCAAATTATGCTTATATCCAGCATTTCCCGAGCCCCGGGAAGTGTCCTTGCTTAAACGCGGCGCCGAAAGTTCTCGTCTCTTCGAGGGTTCGAGCTTTTGTTGACACGCGGCGTTATTGCTCAGAACAATCAATCGATAAATAGCTGGATTGGTCATCGCGAATCGTGAGTGATCGCAATCTTACTGGATAAGAATAGCTGTCGTAGACTGGTTGGCATAGGCTGCCCTATACATAAGATTGAATTCACAACCGCCTTGATACAACAGATATCTAGGTAGTATTGTGTCGACAAAATCAGAAAGGTCTGGCAAAAATCAGAATTGCGTTTACTATCCTTTTTAAATGCTTTCAACATAATTGCTATGCGGCAGATACGGGCCGAGTGCTAGTGGTGATCGTTTGTTTTTCCTACCTATGCTGATAGCCTTGAGAGGCTATTTCAGCTTCACCCTAAGGTCTGAGAAGATTTTTTTGATTGATTTTTTATTGCCCTTGTAGACGAGTATACCTGATGGCGAGTGGTTACCGTCGCCCATGGACTTTAACAATGCCAGGAGCAGAGCCAAGCCGTTGCCTACCGTTAAGTACTCTCCGCAAGCCTCGTTTGAAGAAGGACACGTTATAGGGCTCGGGAAACACCGTGGAGGGGAGCTCATTCAAAGCCTGATGGTACGTGGCAGATCTCTGGAAGCGCACTGTCGATGACCGCAGTGGCTCCAAGTAGTATGGATGAACTCTACTTCGATGGCGGGCGGTGCGATGGTAAAAACGAGATGGTGGTATTATCTCAAACGATTCCTCAGTGCACTCCGCATCCGGCGAGAAACTCAGTAGCTAGCTATGTTGATCGTATGACTGACCTCGCGGTATTGCTTGAGCAGCTGCGGCGACTGCGGCAAGGACCAGTCGACGGCGGGGCGCGCGCCGCAGCCCCACGCGGCGGCGGCGGCGGCCACCAGCGCCTTGCGCGCCATGGCGGCGCCGCGGTGCGAGCGGTACTCCACGATGGCGGCGCACGACGCCACGGCGCGGCGGATGCGCACCTCCTGTACCTCGTCCGTGAGCGCGTACAGGAGCCGCACTATCTCGGCGGACGGCGTCGTGGGCGGGATGCGCGATATGAATATGCGACAGTTGTTTATCGAAGGGCACACACCTGGGAATTCAGTAGATTGTATTTAACAGTTCCCTATTATATATTTTAAGATTTTCATTATCAATTTAAATTTTCTTTAAAGTCATGACCATTCTTAGCGTAATCAGCAGATTGATACTAGAACCAAAATGGCGACATCTAGCTTGAAATATGAGATAGAATTCTCATTTCTAGAAGTCGTCGTGGCCTAAATGATAAGACGTCCGGTGCATTCATATCTAGCGATGCACCGGTTGTTCGAATCCCGCAGGCGGCTGCCAATTTTTCTAATTAAATACGTACTTGACAAATGTTCGCGATCGGCTTCCACGGTGAAGGAATAACATCGTGTAATAAAAATCAAACCCGCAAAATTATAATTTGCGTAATTACTGGTGGTAGAACGTCATGTGAGTCCGCACGGGTAGGTACCACCACCCCGCCTATTTTTGCCGTGAAGCAGTAATGCGTTTCGGCTTGAACAGTTGGGCAGTCGTTGTAACTATACTGAGACCTTAGAACTTATATCTCAAGGTGGGTGGCACATTTGCGTTGTAAATGTCTTTGGGCTTCAGTAACCACTTAACACCAGGTGGGCTATGAGCTTGTCCACCCATATAAGCAATATAAAAAATAAATTAACCTAGCCTACAAATGTGAACGTATAGTAATCTTTTTTCGGGATAGAAATACAATACGATGATACGAATTCGACACGGACTCACAATACACCACACACATCAACCACCGGTTCGTATCGTATATTATTGGTTCAAGCAAACAAATCAAGGGCAGAACACACAAACTTGCAAACATGCAAAAGCAGGCACACGTGACATATTGACAGATAATAAAGACGAAAACACAATGATCTTAGGATTGTTCTTTCAAATTTAGGCAGACAGACCCCTTCCTCGCAAGGGGTGAAATGTAGTAGAGATAAATCCAATTTGAGGCTTAATACTGTCCTTTGATCATTTCAAAGTAGCCGTATTTTTCATGCGAGCTAAACGGGAAATAGTTTTTAATAATGTAACTTTTTCAATCAAACAGGGCTAATTTAACTGAACTACACAGCTTCATTCGAGAGAAACATCCCTGGATCATTGTATTTACGTATTAATTATTATAAATAGTTGTTTTAAACGCATTATAAGAAAGCAAACGGCACTCACCCAGCTGCCAAGACGGCCTGATCATGTAGTTATTGAACAAGCGTATGGCATTGCCGGCCTCCGCCTCCGTGGTGTACATGGCGAAAGCGTATCTAAGCATCATGCGGGGGCGAGTTAGGCATGCAAGTGTTAATTACGTTACGTAGTGACAGATTATGGCGACAAACACAAATGACGTTTAAAACATGTATCCATAAAAAGCCAAAACCAGGATTAGTGAGCATTTTCCATAGACCTATATAGTAGGGACACGACATATTGTTCTATACGTACTATTGCTTATATAAATAGCACCCATTTTGAAGGCACACACATAAACATATATCTATCTCGTTCTTACTCAGCACTTTAACTCGCAGGAAAACAATATAACAGTATTTCAGTGCGTACATAAAATGAAACATGAATATACGTAAATGTCTCCGTCTCCGTCTAATGAGGCCGAAAATCCGCCATGTTTAGCGCGCCAAATGTCATTGTCACGTCAGTTCGGCCGTCTGTTTTGGGTTGTCATTATTTATTGACTTTGATATCGATTTAATATGATTGCTTATATAAAATTTCTTATTTTATCATGCTTAAAACATACAAAAATAATAATTAAAACATATTTTATAGGATCTCAAGAAAGTCGATGCCCCAAAACTATTATCTATATATATTTAAATTCATTATGGAGCCCTCATCCGAAAAATCGGACACCATTTTTCGGTCGGAATCTATTGATCATGACACTAATCATAAATACCACTTTAAAATATGTCATCAAAACATATTTAGACATTCTGTTTAGATATTTCGGGAAAAAGGCTACCGACAAAATCTCTTCGGAACTATTTAAATAAAATAGTTTTATTCCGCAGTGAGTAAAACACTATTGTAAATTTGTTAAATATTTAATAATTAAGTGATTTTAGAGAGGAAGTCACAAGGAATGACGTTTGTAATTAATGAATAAATGTTCTGTAGGTGTTTTTTTTTTCACGCGGTCCCTTGATAAGTTTAAAATTTGAATCACTCTCAAGTGAAAGTGATTCAAATGGTGCGGCGCACCTTCCTTGGGGTGCGCTGCGGTAGTGTGTTACGGACTTTAGAGTCAGCAAAACAATTAAAATAGATTGTAATAGTCTAAGAAAAACACGTACTCAAAATACGATAACATTTAGCATGCTAGAAATGGGCTGATGGCTTTGAACTACGCCATATCTTTATGTTTTGCGACAAACGACAACTTTATAAAATCAGTGTAGCAACTTTTAAAAATCATCATATCGTTTACTTGGCAAATTCGAAGGACGAACTTGTCTTAGATTTCACCCATCTAAATCATATCATATTTGCACATAACAATATACCTACTTACTTCCCATTAAAGTATAAATTCTACAAATAAATAATACTCAACAATACTTAAAATAAAATGAGCCAAGAACGTTTATCGATAAAACCTGATAACATTGAAATCTTTTGTACAGCACTAAAGCCGCCATGTTTTGTGGCCAGATGACGTCACACTGGCACGAAATTTTGGTTGACGTTTCATTTCCATAGGTTTCCTACTTCATTGGCATTTTCCCGCAAGACCCATTACCACAGAGTATTGATAAAAAAAAAAAAGCGTGACCATATTGAGTGTACACTATTTATATTTAGGAATTTTAAAAGTCCGTTCCATTGACACATACGTAAACATAACTATATTTTGTATGGTATGTGTAGGTACTATTTATTATACACATAAAATATATCATATTATTTCTTGAAAATTTGAAATGTATCGATGGAACATTCCCGATCTCGATTCTGCGGCCTCACCTCACTAGAGATTGGCACGATACCACTGGGTGAAGGCGCATGTCATCACATTTCTTCCAGTGTCTATTATCGTATGTAATTTTTACATTAATTAGAAAAACTTTTTTCAATGTTAGATCCCTCACAAAAATAAACGAACACTTCCCCAGGAAATGGTTTAAAACAACACCGATTATATTAAACCACTATAGTTATTGACTTCAAACTATTTATGTGTGTTTATGCCTCCTTCATTCGTCACGGGCGAAATATATTTCTCGATAAACACTTATTTGAAATAAATACTAGCTGCACCCCGCAGCTTCACCCGCAGCAAAATTAAATTTTATATTAAAACATAAAGTCATTTAGACGATTCAGAAAGCCAACTACATAAGATAATTTTAGATGAACATATAATGCGCACAAAAATTCTCTTTTATATTTACAGATTTCATTTCAATACGACGTATGGTTCAAAAGATAAAAATCACTGCATCCAGCGCTGCCATAACTACATATTTGACAATATATGCGTCGAAGTGGTCTTGTCTTGATAAGTTACCCTTTATATGTGTGCAAAAGTTTTATATGAACCCGGCTAAGATTCTCGCGTTTTAGGTGAACATAAATACACACATAAATTCTATTTTATCCATATACATGTACTTACCCTCTGTTCCATCCAGAGAAGTTAATCATAAGCCTAAACTCGAAGAGCTCGCCAGCCTGCTGGAATAGAGGCACTAAGCTGTCTTCAAAGCAATCGTGCGGGATCCTACCGATGAACACCTGTTTTTCAAACCAAATATATCTTGTACTATTGACACGTGACATGGAAAATTCTAGAAACTTGGAAGGAAGAACGTGATGATTGTCAACTTGGAACTATCAACAATGATGGTTGTTTTATCGTGCCTAGTATCAAATGGCTAACGTAGCCCGTTGATATCGTGCTGTTTTCACTTTTTAGTCTTATATCGTTAATTGGTGGACACACACAAGTAAGGCTTTTTTTATTACTTAGATCGGTGGACAAACTCACAGCCCACCTGTTCTTAAGTGGTTACGGGAACTCTTAGAAATCAACAACGTAAATGCCGCCACCCATCTTGAGAAATTAGTTCTAAGTCTCAGTTTCACAGTATAACGGCTACTTCGCCCTTCCAATTGAAATATACTGCTTCACGATAGGAATAAGCAGCACCTATATATAATATAGCACCCATCCGAGAAGGTTCACAAGAGTTATGTAATTACCTAATGACAACAACTATGGCTCCAAGGTTTAAGGTACCGCATAGATCGTGGTATAGTCGCACCATATGATACGTATACACTGGATATCTTAACCATTAAGCCAGAGACGCATACGAATCCCTTTACCAGCTCTTTATCGGATTCAAGAACTTCTGTGTCCGACTGAACTTCTATTCAGCATCACCTAATTCCATTACAATAAGATTCGGTTTTCAGTTTCAAAATGTTGAGACTGTTCCGACTTGGAAATTAACAAAGTTTTCTGATATGATATTCTTTCAGAACAATGACACAAATTCACGACAGACTCATTTCTGAATCTACCAAACTCAACATCAACACCACTAGACTTTTGTTGCCGCANGTGTCCGACTGAACTTCTATTCAGCATCACCTAATTCCATTACAATAAGATTCGGTTTTCAGTTTCAAAATGTTGAGACTGTTCCGACTTGGAAATTAACAAAGTTTTCTGATATGATATTCTTTCAGAACAATGACACAAATTCACGACAGACTCATTTCTGAATCTACCAAACTCAACATCAACACCACTAGACTTTTGTTGCCGCAAACGATTGGCCGGTTTGGCTGTTAGTACGTAGTTACCGCCGCCTATAACTCCTGCGATAAAGAACCTTATCACAAACTACCAAAGGTCCTTTTCCGATACTTACTACTCTACATATTGGGGATAAGGTCGTATTTAGCAGTTCAAGGAACATAAAGAACTCCGATCACGGCGTCGCTTTTAACCAAAAGATCGGCGGACTCTGATAAGTGTCAGAAAGGGCGAGAAGGTTTAGGGCTTATATCTTCTCGCGCTTTCTGACACTCCTAACGCCTATATGATAGAATATGCGATTCATTTTTACACGCGTCCTCTATCACGGTGGCGTCTTCCCCTTGAAATATTCGAACGATTGCAGCGCCGTTACCCGATACATAGATAGTTTACTTATTTTTACTTATTTTGTAGAGACAAGGAAAATTTTTCAATGGAGTCTTCGTCAGCAGCCAGACAATATTGGACAATAACGCGACAAAAACATAACGATGCGGTGAGAGATGCCCGGCCTGTCGTGCTCCGTAAATTCGCAGAAAATATTATTCTGCAGAAGTCTAACATCGCTTCTCATGGAGACTTCACTCTTGTCGCCTTATTCATGTTATTGTAAATTTCACATAATTTTTTGTGAATATAAAATCATTAAACAATAATCTTCTAAATATATAAATCTATAGATCTATAAACGTATCTATTAGAATGGTACATTTTTCCTTTTGAATTTGAGCAATAGGTATAGGTACTTATACATAGTTCTAAAGCTGGGATTTTAATCGACTGAAGTAAATTTTCTTACGAAACATTAGAAACTTACAACTATGTAGGTACCACATCCACTCGTTAAAATAAATATCTATTAAATATCACAACCACAGCCCGTTTTGAAAAAGCTCATAATAGTAGCTGAATTTCATTAAACCCAAACCATCATTCCATCAAATTGTAAAGCAAGTTTTTATATTTTCCAACGACACTACAATATAACAATTTACTTACCTCACAACTTCGCGAGGGTTCGGGACCGGTCCAAGCGTGTGTAGCTTTCCTATAAATTCGTTGTCCATTGATTTGAGTTAACGTATAAGAGGTATTTTCGGTAAGAGACAATAATCTTGTTGATAATTCATACTGATTCACTTCACTAGAAGAATAATGCTTAACAGGAGGCATTTCAGAGCAAATAAATTAAATCTTATATAATAACAATAAATATCCGCCGTATCGCGGTAAGTCTTGATTTAAATGAATAATTTTAAGTAGCCTCGATTAAGAGGTTTATGAAAATGGCGCGTATCCACTAACAAAATGGTGGAGCTGAAAAACGAAAAAAATTATTTAACCCCGACGCATATTGGACGTGTTTTCAGTTTCGATAGATTTCTAGAAGTACTGTGTTATAACCAGCCAAAAACATTTAATTCGTCCCCTTCTAGCACTAGCGATAACCTAGAGATAAACAATCTTAAAGAGTAAATCTGTTGACAATAAGTGACATGGCTCAATTAATAATTCGTCTTTTGTTGAGATCTATGAATTACCAGTGCGCGAAAGCACTATGTATTTATATTACGCTAAACACAACAAACAGACTTTGTAAAGAAAAGATCAGAAATATACCGGATCAGAACAAACGTGCAATATGCGGCCGACGTTGTGGTAATTTTTGGGAATGATTGAATGAATACGAATGAACGAATAAGTTCAATCATCAAATTATTCTAGAATCAAATGATCGCTTTTAAAATTATATTTTATATTTAGAAAGGAAGAACTGTTTTGTATATATATCCTTAGAATTAATAATAATTTAATACAATTGTATTCATTTATTCTAGATTGATATCTCCAAAAGTCTTTCCAAAAGTCAAAAAACCAGCGAAGCGGAAACAGTCGTGCCCATAGATTATACACTTAATATATGTCGTGCCAACTGCAAATTTTAACACAAATCACATCCTGAATTTCATGGATATAGATAATACAACATAGAAAAGAGTTACGAGCTTCATACAGCAAAAACTATCTGAAAAAGTATGTATCTAGTAAAGCAATACTTTCCTTTTTTTTTCTCCTACTTATTCGCTAACAGCCTAAGGGGCTATTTTTTCCTACCTAATTCTTGGTACTACCTACTTCGCGCAGACCACTAGCACTGGCAAGCGCAGTGCTTCCCTGAATCTACCACTAGTTCGAAATCGTGACCCACTGAGAAGATCCGGCGAGAAACTCAGTGGGTAGGGGCTATTTCAGTTATGCGCGGACGGGTAGGTGAGCTCACGGGCTGAACCTGAAAGAAGTTGCTAAGACTAAACGTAAATGCCGCCACCCGCCTAGCGATATGAATTCTAGTCTTAAAATTGTAGTACAATGACTACAAAATTAACATTACCGCCTTATCACCACGCCTGTCTAAATATAACTTCGTAATTATTCTGAACGACTAGGATTTTTTAAATTCTTTCAGTGCAAGAATTAGGGATTGAAATTATTTCTGACCTAATTCAGCTATTAAATCATTCCATATTGTTGATAGTTTGTGACAAAATATTTTTTGTAGCATGTTTTAGCAAAATAACTCTGAAAATCTTAAATTAAAAAAATATTTCCGTGGCATAATCATTAGCATTGCAATTAATAGTTTNCTGAACGACTAGGATTTTTTAAATTCTTTCAGTGCAAGAATTAGGGATTGAAATTATTTCTGACCTAATTCAGCTATTAAATCATTCCATATTGTTGATAGTTTGTGACAAAATATTTTTTGTAGCATGTTTTAGCAAAATAACTCTGAAAATCTTAAATTAAAAAAATATTTCCGTGGCATAATCATTAGCATTGCAATTAATAGTTTCCTCGTAGACAGTAGATGTACGGAGTAGATCAGTCAGTGACACCTAGCGACTTTTGAACCAACTGTGCATCATAGATAATCTAAAAGATTTGCATATCATTAAAATTATTATCTATGAATACACCAAAGTTTCTAAATTCAAATCAATGAATGAAATCGTGATCGAGTGTTGTGTGCCTATGTACTAATTTAATTTATGTAGGTAATGATTTCTTGCCTAATTAACGACCATGTTTGTGTTATTGTTTTCTTGATGAAATTTCTTGTTCCAAGTTTTAATAAATATCAAATAAAAAAAATTAAGTTTGTGTAAAAATTATATAATTCAAAACCTTTTAATAGAAGTCATATTTATTTATTTGATGCAACTAGTACTTATTTAATATGTTTAGTATTTATTCTTCATAATGTAATTAGTAGAACTTCTTAGTAATGTAATCTAACCTGATAATAGATGTAAAAAAAAATGTCTACGAAAAAAACAGTCAAATGCTGTTTTTAAATGAAATATGGCTGTTGCTATTCGTGTCAGAAAGGAGAGCAAGACTTTTCTAACTTTTAAGTTAAAGCAAACTGAGTTTAAGAACTAAGGTCGTATGAAAATACAGTTTTTATTCAAGATTAAATAGAATTATAAATTCTTTCTTTAACCACTCAAGGGACTAATTATATTCTTGTATTTTGTATTATTATTATTATATGGGAATATTGTCTGTACTGTCGAAAATAATATGTTTCTGTAACTGTCGTATTGTAGACATAGACCTATATAGTAACTTTTCATACTTCAGTGATTGTAGACCACCAAATGACACATCAAATGTGCGAAGACTACCAATTAGGTGTTTTCCGAGCGCTATGACATGTCCTTCTTCAAACGAAGCTTGCGGAGAGTACTTTATGGTAGGCAGCGGCTTGGCTCTGCCCCTGGCATTGCTGACGTCCATGAGCGACGGTGACCACTTACCATCAGGTGGGCCGTATGCTCGTCTGCCTACAAGGCAATAAAAAAAAAAGCTTACGGTATTGACTTGGATTAATTTGATCTTGATAATATATCGGATTAGCGTGCCGAGCTTATTTATTTTATTCCAACTGACGTACGTACCTACATATTTGTCTGTTGGAATAAAATAAATAATTTTGCAAACAAAAACTTAAAAAGAATTTTCGAAATTGCAATTAATATTTAATGCAAAAGAGTGTAGGTACTGAATCATTTTTTAATCAAATATTGAATTATTAAATTTATTCTGGTACTGCACAAGTGGGCGTATGCTTGGCTGTGGCTCTGGCATTCCTGACGTCCATGATCGACGGCAGCCACTACCCATCAGGTGAGCCGTATTGTCATCCGCGTACAAAAACAATAAACAGAAACATATTGCACATTGAATTTTAAAATATACTAAGGCAGGTTTGTGGTCCTTGCAGATGCCCTTATATTAATTTCGAATAAACCAAAAATGTACCCGGTTCTGACCTTAATTACTCTGTTAAACGGCTGGAACTTTTGTCATCTATTAACCTTATTAACCTTAGATCTAGTTTCTCCTTCTATAAATCAACACTTATAATACTGAGGGTATATAAACCACCTACCGATATTATTTGATTTTCTTCTCTTCATATGGCGATTTTACGAATAAACTCACTTGTTACGCTCATTATTATTCAACGGTTTGTACCACGATTTTAAAATTTAATCAGTTTCCGATATAGTGGAGCGATAGTAAAATGTAATAATTTAATATAACACTAGCTGACCTGGCAGACTTCGTAATGCCTCAATCGATAAATAAATCACCTAAACTTTTGTATAAAATTAACTTAAAACAAACAAAAGGAATCCGTCCGACGGGGGACACATCACAGGCAAAACAAAATTTTCTGTAATGAAAAAGATGGTAAATATATTATTATATCAGTATTTTTTACTTCTACTAAAATTGTTTGCCCTGCCGCGGGCCGCTGATATATCGTCCACGGGCCGCAGTTTGACGACCACGGCTATAGAATGATTCTATAGCCAAAGTTCGATCCAAAGGACGAGCCAAAGGACGATAGCCAAAGTTATAAAAGCGAGATTAAACCGTAAAAGAAGTTTTAATTATGTCTAAAACTTGCAAAGGCGAAAGAAAATCTAAAACTGATTGAAAACGTACTTTTTATTTTAATATTAGAGTAAAAACATAAATTAAAGCAAGAAGAACAGATTTTTTTATTGCATTAGCATCTTGTTTGGCGATTTGAGAAGTGTCGAGACTGGTTCTCAATTGTACCCTTATGATGTACATGCGGCGCGCCTCTGGGTTCATTCTTAGTATTTGTTGCTTCGTGAAATATTCCAATTTATCTTGATGTATCATTTCCATTATGTGTTTGCTTATGGCTGGGATCGCTTCAAGCCTGATTGAACTGATCGATTCTTTAGGTACACCTGTTAGTTGTGCAACTTTTGAATAGAATGAAATAACGAGGAATATTTTTAAATATTAGTCTAAGCATACCTAATCAACGTAATATGGTGATAGGTTGGGTAGTTCTGGGTTTTTTTAAAGTGGCATCTGACCAAACAAGGTGTTGTTTATATTTATGGATGAGGTGTATTACGTAATCTCCATCTGGCAGTTTGTCACTACTTTGATTAGTGAAAGACCCTCGGCCCTATACGTAGATGAACTTTATTATGTACATAAAGGTCCACGGTCAATAGATTAGCGGTAGCAAGGGAAAGGAAAAGTAGACTAAAAGAAATACGGCAAAAACCCGAATCGCCCTAATGCTATATTCTAAATAAGTTGATTAAATACAGGTTCCAAACCATAACAACAACATTACCGTCAGTAAGCTGAAAGAAGGACCGACATCAAGTAAGATCTTCCATATGGCGATCTTCTCAAACTACAAAAAACGCAAACGCCATGCTGGCAATATCTACCTAAACTACTAAACTTCGTTCAAAAATACTATTATTCAATACTTAATTACAGAGGCTATTCCAGACAATCCCGCGAACAAAACTATTTTAAATGGGAAAGAACGAAATTATTTGTCTTTAGGTACTTACAAATGAAAAGAATATCTAGTTTTGTGATTTCATGCGATGACCATTTGTACGGCTTGCCATAGGCATTTTTATGTGTCGCTAAGTTATAAAGAGTCTAAAACATTAAACCATAAATTACATTACCATCATACTACAAATTACATTTACCATCGCACCGCCCGCCACCGGAGTAGAGTTCATCCATACTACCTGGAGCCTCTGCGGTCATCCACAGTGCGTTTCCAGAGATCTTTTTTGCCACGTACCATCCGGCTATGGAATGAGCTCCCCTCCACGGTGTTTCCCGAGCGCTATGACATGTCCTTCTTCAAACGAGGCTTATAGAGAGTATTAAGCGGTAGGCAGCGGCTTGGCTCTGCCCCTGGCATTGCTGAAGTCCATGGGCGACGGTAACCACTCACCATCAGGCCGTATGCCCGTCTGCCTAAAAAGGCAATAAAAAAAAAATAAAAAAAAAAAAACATATTATTAATTTCGGCATTTAACGAATACTATAATTCCTTGTTACCTTCGTTTGGTTAACGGAACACAAGCTAAGCTTCTTAAAAATTTCTACGTCGATCTTTTTAAACACAGCTGGGGTAATTTTGCTTATTATATGCGCCGGGAAACCGCATATTAGGTATCCCAGTTCGTTTATGTAATCACTATCCTCATACCACATGTCGCCATAGTAACGTCTATACGAAGCCGCAAGTACACCGTACTGGAAAGGAAATAAATATTAAATCACCTTATATTATGATTATTAAGGTAATTTTGTATGCCTATCTATTTACTTCGTTTTGCCTTAATCAAATAAATTTAGTCTCTGTCGTGTAAGAGTATGGTTTGACTTTGATTGGCATACATGGGCACGTGCACACTTCCACCCCAATTCTACGTGGACACCACTTCGGTGGAAACCTATAGACAAGATTTACACTCTTAAAACCGTAGTCACGTTGCGTTACCGGGGTACGAAACCGACAAAATTACCTTTCGCGAGTGCAAGCCCAAGTTGTGATTCGCAAAAAAACTAAGAACGCTTTTATCTCCAAAATTTACATAATATAAATCTTCTTCTGGTACAAAATTCAGGAGAGGTCCGAGTGCTAAGTACTCTCGACTATAGAGGAAAGCAGCGGTCTTACCGTCTGAAATATTTTACCCGTTATGTACATACATGGCGATCATTCCCGTCGCGTATTTTAATTTATTAGTGCGAAAGACTAATAATATTATATCTATACTTCTATACTATATATACTTCTATACTTTATATTATAAAGAGGAAAGATTTGTTTGTTTGTTTGTATTGAATAGGCTTCGAAACTACTGAACCGATTTGAAAAATTCTTTCACTGTTTGGAAGCTACACTATTCCCGAGTGACATAGGCTATAATCTTTTTTGCAAAAAATTAGGAATCTTTACTAAAACTCCAATAATGTAATCCAAGGTGAAATTACCTAATATATTCTTTACATCGCGTGCCCTGCGATAACTATTGATGACAACAACTTTGTAAAATACATTATTATTTACAAAAATTGTCGCGACAGCATATGTCTAACTATTATAGTTATGCCGCAATAAGTCTTCTTTTATTTTAAAAAATAAAACAACAAAAATAAAATATCGTTTACAGTTCTGCGACTTCTGTGACAGAAGTTCTGACTCAATAAACTCAATGGCTTTCGTTTTGTATGTAAGACCTTTTTACGAAAATTAGAATAATAATAAAATATATAAAAAATATATCATCTAAATTAAAATAAAAGTTCGTTAAAATAATAATATTCGAACTATCTTTATAATTTTATTTTTTAGTAACCTGACGCAAATAAAAGGGTTGATGTGTGTGTATTATAATTTGTAATTTTGAAATTTTTGTTAAAGATCCAAGCGCAGCTGGATCGGGCCGCTAGTTGCTACATAAAACTGTCCACTGACACTTCAATTCTTAGATAATTTTTCGATGGCCACAAGATAGGATTGTCTCTTATTCCGTGGGTCATAAGACCCACTTATTACCCCAGACCATTATTATGATTTTCTGGTCTGGTACCTACCGAAGAACTAAGAAAAAATACCAATAGGTTTTTTATTGCCATGGATATGGGATGGGATGGATGTACATATTTATCGCGAGGATGTTTGCTTTAAATAGTCACCGCGCTCCGCCATAATATCATATGCTTGAGTTTCCAATGCAGCAACAATAAAAGCCATGCCTTTGTTTATACAAATAAAGAAAATTTAAACATTTTAATTTCTCATTATTATTTCTAATAGATACCTGTGATCAAGTCCCATATTAAAATAGTCCGTGATATCGGAATCAAATGTTTTTTAGTGAAAGTCAAAATGTGCAACAAACTTTCAGCATCTATTCTCATGAACGAGCTTACGGGTCCAAAGAAAATCATATTCATGGAATTCTCCATTTTGATTCGACTGTCCATTTCATCGTAAAAGTCGTCATAAAAATGTATATTCTCTGAAATCATATTAAAATAGAATTCCTTCGTTATTAATTTTATCAAATTTAACTATTTGCCTATAGTGCCTTTAGTCTATCAAAGTAATGTTAAATCTTCAGTGCCTTGTTCTGCAAGAGCGATCATAGAGTTCTTATCGTCTTCATAGTCGATCACCATATTTTCAATGGATTTCGTGTATTGTATGCTCTCGTGAACCATCGTGATACAGCTATATTGAAACAAAAATATAATTTCATCACATACTCGAACTAAGTATTAAGTTGGTAGTACATTAAAATCAAGCACCATATTATTGAGTCACGGTTTTTATCATTTGCTTATTTGATTTTAATGTCAAATTACTAGCCCAAATATATAAAAATAATGGTCCTCGTTGACGAGTTGCTCCCTCTCATCCTTAAGGATCAACGTGACCTCAACTAGTAGAGTTAAAATAAAACAATTTACCATAAAATACAAATCAAATTATATCCAGGAATCATTTAACACGTATTCAATCTAATTGTAATTGATATTTCAATTTTCGTGAATAAAATATTTGTTACAAATAACGAGGAGGCTGTGAAATAAACTCCAATCTTAAAATCAACCTTTAGGTAGATTTACTTGTAGTAAGTAGGTACGTACTTTCGTTACAAATAAATGTTAGGTAAAGTGGATTGTAAAAAAAATGCAATCACCTAATCTGTTTCCAAGTTTAGATATCAGGCAATAAAGTAAAACAAAAAAAATTTCGCATCTATTTTTTTCATAATTGTATCTTGTTAATATGACGGTAGCCGGATATATATTTTTTTATTGCTTAGATGGGTAGACTAGCTCACAGCCCACCTGGTGTTAAGTGGTTACTGAAGCCCATAGACATCTACAACGTAGACTCGACCCACCTTGAGATACAAGTTCTAAAGTCTCAGTATAGTTACAACGGCTGTCCTACCCTTCAAACCGAAACGCATTATTGCTTCACGGCAGAAATAGGCAGGGCGGTGGTATCTATCCGCGCGGACTCACAAGTGGTCCTGCCACCAGTAATTACGCAAATTATAATTTTGCGGGTTTGATTTTTATTACACGATGTTATTCCTTCACCGTGGAAGTCAATCGTAACATTTGTTGAGTACGTATTTCATTAGAAAAATTGGTACCCGCCTGCGGGATTCGAACACCGTTGCATCGCTTCAACACGAATGCACCGGACGTCTTATCCTTTAGGCCACGACGACTTCGAAATTATTTAACAGTAAAGCCATATTTCTCGCCACCGTTTTAACCGATAGGCAGTCCCTACTTAAACGAGAAATGTTGACGAGGACAAGAACTCGTCTCATTTTCAAATAGTCTCCAGATTAATACTCAAATCTAAGCAAAGTTATTTCAACTTGTAGTTAACTTCAGAATCACGGGCATTGTGTTGGCACTAAATTTGGTCTTGCCTGAATTTAATTAACGTGTAGACTGTAAGACCCACCTTGTATTATAGGATTTGTAATTGGATAGACAGAAGCCTGACTATCTATTACTTTTTACTATTACTTTTTACCAAAATAAATGATATAAAATAATTAAGACTGGTATCAGCTAAACCAGTTTGCTAACTGCACGAATTTCAAACCAGTAATAAGGGAAAAAATAAGAAGGTGATTAAAAAAAGATATTCAATTTGATAGAAACAGTAAGGAGGAGTATATAGCAATCACTTGAGAAGTTCAGGTTGTAAATCCATTTCTACCATACCAGAATAAATCATGCCAAATCGGCGGGGTTATAAAATGTTTGCTATGTCTTAATTGACCTGAGACAACAAAGGCTTTTTCTCAAATAACATTTGCCAAAAAAGACAAAAGTATGTGAAAATATAATTCTAAGTATATTTTAATATTACGGCGCCTCGGCGGTTCCAACAAAATATTTAAAAAGGGTCACTAATGAAAATAGTGCGTTTTTGACAATTGACAGCACCATTTTGAATTTGACATTTTTGACAATGATGCGTCTAACCTATATATCCTAACCTTACCCACTTCTTTGTCGTAGACGATTCTAATAAACATAATTATATTTTGGATAGGCATTAAATAAAATTTAAGAATCTGTATAGTTTTTTAGTATGAAATGATTGATACTGTGAATTCTGTTTTAATTAAGTAGCCGAAAAACATTATCAATTAATTGACTGCGTGGTAAATAGTTGTCAGATAAACTCGCCGAATCATGGGGATTTTAGAGAAAATATCAGAAATTGAGAAAGAAATCGCGAGAACACAGAAAAATAAAGGTAAAAAAACTACAAACATGAAATTATTGTAATCAGATACAAACCATAATCGAAGTTTATAGGAAAAAGAAGTTTCAAATTACAAACATCAAATAAAATTATGTATGTGGTTCATCGATAACAAGTGAGACGTCCCTTTGGTCATAAATAAAAAAAATTAAACGGAGTATTCTATAAGTTCTCATTTAAAGTTTAATTGGGTTTGAAGTTACTTGCAAAATTGTATACTTTGAAACATCTTTAAAAAAATATTATATTTTTCAGAATAATTTAAATGTTAAAATTTTTTGATAAACACCACTCGTACTTGATATCAGTTTTCTTAATTGTATATCTTCATTATGTTATTAATGAATGTAGAATTACAGGAAAAAATCCTTGTTGAGCTGAAGTAACTTGCTTAAAACAGTTATTTGTGAAAAACTTATTGCAGTAGTATTTATATAATCAGTGGGCTTGTTCGCCAATCGACAGCAATAAAAATCACAAAGTATTTATTAACATTGCCTTTACTTAATTTTAATTATTGTTCTTATGTTTTTCAGCGACTGAATATCACTTGGGTCTCTTAAAAGCCAAATTAGCAAAATATAGATCACAGTTGCTGGAACCTTCAAAAAAAGGTGGAGACAAAGGTGAAGGTTTCGATGTACTAAAGTCTGGTGATGCTCGAGTTGCTTTGATAGGCTTTCCTTCTGTGGGTAAGGTAAGAAATGTTGTCATAGCATGAAAGGTTGTATCTCTAATTTAATAAATAAAATGATTATTGCTAATGAATGAATTCAGTTGTTGTGAAGTGATGAGCCCATAGATATCACAAGATAAATTTTATCATTTGTTTGTACCAGCATACGGCCACCTGGTTGTCCTGCCTTTAAAATAGGAACGTATAATTGCTTTGTGGGCAGAATAGGTAGGTAGGTTGTCCTGTCATCAAAAAAATAACAGAAAATATGCTATATATAATAGATTTAGAATTTAAATTATATTATTAGAATATAGCACGAAACATGGCTTTACTGTTATATATTATTATCTTCTATTTTTCAGTCATAACAAAACTATAACTGAAAAATATCATACGCATAATCACCTATTTTAATCTAACTTGATGAACCTTTAAAGTACATAATTAAATATAGATTATATTCTTTCTACATCATAGAATTTATTCTCGAAAAACTTAAATTTTCAGTCGACCCTTTTATCGACCCTCACTCACACACATTCAGAAGCAGCAAGTTATGAATTCACAACGCTGACATGTATACCTGGAGTTATAGAATATCGCGGTGCCAACATACAATTGTTAGATTTGCCTGGAATTATTGAAGGTGCTGCTCAGGGCAAAGGTAGAGGAAGACAGGTAACTCAAACCACTGACTCCATTTAAATAGATTTATGAAATACTTGTAAAATTTTGTTGTTGTCTTTTATATTTTATTGCTTAGATGGTGTTAAGTGGTTACTGGAGCCCATAGACATCTACAATGTAAATGCGCCACCCACCTTGAGATATAAGTTCTAAGGTCTCAGTATAGTTACAATGGCTACCCCACCCTTTAAACCGAAACGCATTACTGCTTCACAGCAGAAATAGGTGGGGTGGTGGTACCTACCCGTGCAGACTCACAAGAGGTCTTACCACCAGTTTCATAGTGAAATTCGACTGTAAATACAGTAATACTTGGTAACGAATTGGAAATTGGTTGCTGCAGCTGAACTACGTGTGGTTTATGTGTTAAAGTAAAATTTTCCTCTTGCCACACCGGTTCAACCAACTAGTTGATAAGCAGTTAATGTGAATGACCCCAGGGAGTAACCACCAGTGCCAGGATCTATTACAAGTGGTACGATTCAACTGAAACTATGATTTTAAAACAGGTTATAGCCGTAGCACGTACTGCAGACTTGGTATTAATGATGCTGGATGCTACAAAACCATATGTGCACAGACAACTTCTAGAAAAAGAATTAGAGAGTGTCGGCATCCGTCTGAACAAACCTAAACCTAATATTTATTTTAAGGTATGTTTACTAAGGTACTTAAGGTACTTTAATTTAAAATTGTACCTTAATATTAAAGTAGTTAGTTAGTTATAGTTAGAACTATTAATTTTATATTCAGGGTTTGTCAAATTTATTTTCAATGATATAACAAAATAACTTAAGTGAACAAAAGCAGAAAACAATTTTAATTGGCCAAGTTAAATGTAACTAATTTTCGTTATGTACTAATTTAAAAGTACAGCATTTATATTTTTCGGGCCCACAAAATCGACCACTAATCGACATGACATGAAACAGTGTCCACTCAAAAGAGTGCAATCTGACCACTAAATGTGGCTTATAATTAGAATAAAAAGTTAAACTTAAATAAATCTTTGAAATACTCTCCTGTCTAGAATTCACTTACTATAGATGTATATTGTTTCTGTACATTCAAAGAGTATTTTTAAAAGTCCAGTTTTTTATTCAGTTGTTAATTTGTAATTTTTATGTTAAGAAATTTGTCAGTTTTTATATTTCTAGAATTTTTATGTTTACCCAAAAATTTGAAGTATATGACTCCAAAGATTAATTCAATCCCTAGTCTCGGGTTTATTAGTTCTACGACAATATAATGTAGAAATTAGGTAAGTTCAAGATCTGAAATCTAAGTCTAGTTAATTTGAACAAAACTCTAATTGTAATTTTCAAACTGGAATTAAAATTATGAGTCATTGTCCACATAAACAGTAGTTATAACATAAAAAATTGTCAGAAACTATAATTACCTCAAAAATAATTCATTAACTTACAGGTGAAAAAAGGTGGTGGCTTATCATTTAACTCAACTTGTCAACTAACTAAAATTGATGAGAAAATGGTGCAAATGATCTTACATGAATACAAGATATTTAATGCTGAGGTATGTAGTATATAGTCATTACCTACAAAGGCAAACCTAGGTATAAGACCATTCGACCACCATTCGATATTCAACATAGCCCAGTCTTGATTATGCATATTGGAAACCCAGGACACAAGAACAAATACAAACTAAACCCTGAATCTTTAATAAAAGTTCAGACTCTGACTGAGAATAGTTTCAATAGTTACTAAACACTGACTGAATACGGGCATCATAAGTTTGATCCCTTGTTTTCCTACTAAAAGTGGTTTCACTTGGATTTGATGTATTTACATATTGAAGAGTGTGCTTATGCTAGTAATATGTATGCCACTCTTGACAGCTGTTGCAATTTTGAAACTAGTCAAATACTATTATGTGAAATGTGTTCAAAGGAGGGGTAAATATTGGTAACCTGACAAATCAGTGGACGGCTGCCAGCTAATTACTGTATAAGACAAAAGCTAGTGGTACCTATTCATATGGGCACGCAATGTACGCTCTACTAATCACAACTGGACAATTTTTTTTAAATTCTTAGCCCATTTCTTTTTAATAATACATACAATATATAATATACAATACATATAATATACAATAATGTCCTTCGTAGTAGTTAGGTGTAGTACAAAATTTGTGTTTTTAGAATATTATTTAGTACCCGCAGTTTTAATAAAAAAAACGCAGGTTCTGTTCCGTGAAGACTGCACACCGGACGAGCTCATAGATGTTATACTCGCGAACAGAGTGTACCTGCCCTGCCTTTACGTCTACAACAAGATAGATCAGATCTCCATCCAGGAAGTCGACAGGATAGCGAGACAACCGCATTCTGTAGTCGTTAGGTGAGCTGTACTTTGCTTAGATTTGGTTCTTATTCAACCAAAATACCAATAAGAAGACAAAGTTAGCAACTAAAAAGGATTGAGTTTGATTGATTGAAATTAATAGTTTATTTTATCTCCAAATTGTATAAAATATTCAAGGTTCATATTCTAAACTAGCTCTTGTCCGCGACTTCTACCGCGTGGAATAGTTACTTTGGCATAACGCTAAATTTAACCTGCGACTTCATTTACGTAGAAAGAAAAATAACCCCGATTTTGAAACATTCTTTATTGGTGCTCCGTTTGTATTAGTCTTAGCGTGATGTTACATAGTCTATAGCCTTCCTCGATAAATGGGTTATCTAACACTGAAATAATTTTTCAAATCGGACCAGTAGTTCCTGAGATTAGCACGTTCAAACAAACAAAATCTTCAGCTTTATAATATTAGTATAGACCAGATGATGACTAGATGAGATTTTTTTTTTGATAACGCCATCTTTTTGTGTCTGTGTGCGGTTAGTTGTCCTCAATTAAGAAAAATAGTATTATTATTCGCCAATAGATGTCGGGAAGAGTTGATAATTGAAAACACGAATAAAACAACATTTTCTGAAAATAAATCGTAGCTAGATCGATTTATCGCCTGTATACTAAATTTTATGAAAATCGTTGGAGCCGTTTCCGAGATTCAGATTATATACATATATATTAATATACAAGAATTGCTCGTTTAAAGGTATAAGATTTAATTAAGACTTTTTTAAATTCATGTGGCTTGTATCTATCTCTTGTATCATTTATCATTTATCATTGTATCTATCTCTTTGTCACTGACCTCTTGAATGAATAAACTTATACAGTTCTTTTTTTATTGTATTTATGTACGTTTCTCAATGGTTTAAATTTACAATTTATGGTTTTAATCACCCTCATTTCTCCCCTTAATTGGATATTGTAGGTGCTATGATTAGTTTCCAGGATTTTGTATTTAAAAGCAGGACATCTGCCGGGCCTGCTACTAAGTTCATAAAAAAATATTTATTCGGTTTGTATTTTATTTCAGTTGTAATATGAAACTAAATTTGGATTATCTGCTAGAGATACTCTGGGAATATCTGTCTCTTATCAGGGTATATACCAAAAAGCCTGGACAGCCCCCAGATTTTGATGATGGACTTATCCTGAGAAAGGTGAACTGTTTAATTATTTCCTATTTATTTTACATGATAACTGAGTATGTTTTTTTTTACACTTCGAGTGTTGATGCAATATAGTTTACATACTTCAAAAAATTAACTACAAAGAGTTAAAATTTTCTCTCTCTGCGTATAGGGGGCGCGCTGGTTATGTGGGACTTGACGATCTGCCGGTTTTAAGAGCAGACCGTGGGCCCAAGGAATTTTAGGGCCGAGTTCAAATTTCCCCTAACTTAACATTTTATCATCATCATCTCAGGCCTCACAGCCCAGGGTGAGCCTTAGCCTGGTCCAGTGTGTCTCTCCAGACTGCTCTGTTCAGGGCTTTCTCAAAGCGCTCCACGCCATCCAACCATCGCAGTTTGGGTCTGCCACGACTTCTGCGGCCCTCTGGTTTGCCATCAAGCAAGTCTTGGCATTCTGGTATTCTCCATTCGAACCACATGTCCTGCCCATCGTAGGCGTTCAATTTATATTACTTAATTAATAATTAACTTAACATTTTGCATTACAATAATTTTAGTTTCTGTATTAATTTCGAAATGATTATATGATTCCAGGGTGTGACTGTAGAGCACGTCTGCCACTCCATCCACCGGACCCTGGCCGCCCAGCTGAAGTACGCGCTGGTGTGGGGCACCAGCACCAAGTACTCGCCGCAGCGCGTCGGCATCAACCACACCGTCAACGATGAAGATGTCGTCCAACTTATCAAGAAATAACCTCACGCGTGTTGTATTGTTCACCCACGATCCTATTAATTTCATGTTGACAACCATTTTAAACCTTACATCGTTCAATTTTAATAAGCAACTGCCATTAATAAAAACACTGTTGAAAGTTATGTTAGTTAAATTAAAATTATCATTAAATCAGTACTGTTGTGAAAAATTTATTATAATACAGTAAAAGGACACTAGAGATAATTGAGTCGACTATTATCAAAGCCGGCAATGTGGCTTTTGGACAATTATTGGTAAATCAGAAAAACGAATTATTGACTTTGTATTCCATTGGCAGTCACAAAACTCTTCTGAACGACATCTTAGATAAATAACAGGTTAAGTATTAACCTTTATTTAATGCAGGTTTTGAACGGTATTCTTTGAAGGAGACGATTATATTCAAATCAATCTGTATTGACATATCAATAACATTTTTTTGTCCAAATGCACAGATTGCCACCTTTGATAATAGACTACTCAATTATACTTTGAAATTGCTGCTCGAACTTTACAAAACTTCAGTGACCGCCATTTCATTATTGATGACGTCATTTGTGGGGCATAATAAACGAGTTATACTCTCTAATATAAAACGATTGGCCACATCTGAAAACCACTTTGGTGAATTAAATAGTGCCTAGCGTGAAGAACGAATGCAAAATATTAGAATTTATTAGATTTCATTCAAGGGTTCAATTCCCACTTCGGACTATTATATGAGGAACCAGTTTATTATTTGAAACACATGTAATTATGTTATAGATCCCTGGTTCCTATAGTAAAATGAACCAAGCTAATTCTTGTATTCATACACCTATTTTTTAGTTTGTCTATGTTGTATTTACTACGAATATATTTGATTAACATTGATATTGAAAAGACCAAGGTATAATAACCAAGAGGTATAGAAAAGTTTTGTCTTAACGAAACAGAATGCTAAAGAAAATACTTGGATGATTTAACTATAACAAAACGTTATGCAAGATGATTTTCCATTAATCTTTGGTTTTAAGTTTTGAATGTCCAATAAATAAATAGGCTGAATTATAGACAATAATAATACTGATTCGATTCGTTGTAAATGTTATAGATACGCGTAATTTTTTTTAAATTTGCTTTTCATTTGATTTTGTTAATTAGAATTTCGCGTCTCGATCGTAAAAGTTAAATTTCTTGGGACATTATTTTTAAATAGTAATTTGAACGTTTCCATTTCCCGTTAGTGCCTGTGCCGAGAGCCATACAAGTTTGTTTTGGTGTTTGTACAGTTCATAATGTATATATTACTCATTTTTAAGCATTGAAATATATTGTTTTGAATGAATTCGCTCGTGTATGTTTTTTATTTCTCGTGCTAAGTCTACGAGCTCACTGTCTACCAGTGCGAGTTTTTTAACATTCTCGATAGCATAAAAGTTAACCCAATTTTGTATGCAGTTGGAACAGCGCCCCTAGCGGCAAACGTAGGCAAACGATCCCATTCGATACAAATATGAGCTAACTTTTACGCTATCGAGAACGTTAAAAAACTGGCACTAAGCACGCTGATGGTTAACGGACCCGGGCACTTCATAATGTTAGCTCCGTTAGTCGTCCGCTTGCAAAGTGTGAGATCGAAGTTTCAATATAGTAATGTGTCTTACCATTAAAAAACTGAACAAGCCGCGGCTCACGTTACGGCCTGCCAGTAATTATGCATATTTATGTCGTGGAACAAAAAGCGATTTGGTTTAAGCGACATTTTTGGAACTTTACAGGAAGATTAAAATTTAGAAAAAGATAACAAAAAAAATTTACTAAATTCTTTTAAAAAATATAAAAATTAAATTTACTTACTCAATTAAAAACATCGAACTGTCGATGCTAATACCAAATAAAACGCACCTTTAATTGCAAAGATAAATGTCGCCTAAACGAAATAGACTTTCACCCCTCGAAAAAAAATTGTTTTTTTTCGTATACTATTATTATACTACGTTAATTATACGCTGTTGAGATCGAGAACTCGGCTTTGCTTAGAAAAAAATGTATCTATTTTGTGGAATTTAAGCACCAGCATGGATAAGACGACGGAGCGCTCGCGTCCAGTGACGCGACTGTGTCGGTATTCAAGCCCCGCAGGCAGGTACCTATAAGCCGCGCCAATAAAGAAACGAATCGAAAATGGCGTCTATGTACCTGCACTGACAGATGGTAGGGTCAACAAATAAAAAGAAAGAAAATTATTGTAAAAAAATATAAAAAAACAAATGAAAATGTACTTTACTTTATGCCCTGGCAGAGGGGAAGGTGTCTCATCTGGGATGCAACTTGCGTAGACACTTTTGCTGCCAATCATCTAAGTCGTACAACTCGAAAGTAAAAAAAACTCGAACTCAACAAACAACAAAGTCAGAACTAATATTTTTTTGCATGCAGTACGCTAAAGACAGCAATAGTTTAGAGGGAGAGCGCATGTTCGCCGCCGCCATATTAGATTCGTTTCTTTATTGGCGCGGCTTATACCAATTTTCGCTGAGGCATGTTCACGAATGACTCCCACGGTGAAGGAACGATATCATGTAATGAAGATCAAACTCGCAAATATTATAAATTGCGTAAATGCTATACGATCGAGACCCCAAGGTATAAGTTGCTCACTGAGTTTCTCGCCGGATCTTCTCAGCGGGTCGCGATTCCGAGCCGGTGGTAGACTGCGAACAATGCTCTTGCTAGGGCTAGCAAATTCTCTGAGATTCTCGGAGTTCTTCCGAGCCCGTGAGCTCACCTACCCGTCGGGGCGTAACTCGAATACCCTCTTACCAGCGAATAGGTAGGGGAACAAAACTTAGTCGACATTAACGTTGTGATGTGTACTGGCTTCAGTAACCACTTAACGCAAAGCAAGCCGCCTCATACGAGTTCAGCGGCTGCTTTATTCTTTAAGCCAAAATGTAAAGTAGTGCGTACACGTCAAGGCTTTGGCAAACTCATTTGTATACAACGAGATTGGCATATCTTCTACTCCCAGATATGTCAGTTTTTCTATGAAACTCCGAACACGTATGTAACTTAATAATAAAATGTAAAATCTCTGGTACTAATTGGTTTTTCAAATGCGTTCAATGCCGTCAATCACGATATCCTCCTATCTATTTTGTCCTATATTATGATCTCTCATGAAGTTGGTGTAGTGTCAACTCTGGCGTGTCCCAGGGCGGTATTTTGTTTCCATTATTATTTTCTATTTTTATAAATTTCTTAACACATAATCTTCAGTGTGCGTATCATCTGTATGAGCTTTATAGACTGACGACTGTAGTCTATTTCTCAGGCAATAAATCAGTTAAATAGGGATCTGGACTACATATGTAATTGATCAACTAAGTTTGGCTTAACCGTGAATCCAACGAAATACCAAGCCATTATATATGCCAAGCCATACGCTTAACTACTATTTCACTCCCATCTATATTCTATAACGGTACAGTGATTCCCCTAAGTTCCGTGGTTAAGAACCTAGGCCTTTACATAGACTCCACACTCGACTGGAAAGCTTAAGTTTCTTACGTTGGACAAAGAACCTCTGGAATTCTTCGTGCTCTCTATCGCCTCAAGAATTTCTTACCATCAGCGAGTAAGACTATGCTAGTACAAGCCTTGATCTTCCCTATAATTGATTATGGTGATGTGTGTTATTTTGACCTGAATGCAGACCTTCTTAATAACTGCATTCGATTTATTTTTAATCTTCGTAAATATGATCATATATCTTCCTATCGTGCTCAGCTCAAACTTCTACCGATTCGCCAGCGTCGTAATTTACGTGCACTGACTCTTCAATCCTTTCTTATGTCTCCCGAACCTCCTTCCTATCTAACTCCCTATTTTCAATATTTTCACTCCAGCCATGAGCGGGCCCTACGTTCTCTTAATAGCCTATTAATTCGTTGTCCCACACATAGTTCTAGTTATGTTCGCAACTCTCTCGTCGTGCAGTCTGTTCTGCTATGGAATGCGCTTCCTCTCGAGATCAGGACTATTACTAACCGCTGCACGTTCAAGTTAAGGGTTCGGCGAATGTTGTTGGAAAAGTTAGCGGAATCGTCATGAACTTATTAAGATGAAATTTATTAATATATTCCTCTTAATACTGTATAATCTATTATATGTATGTATGTATATGTATATGTGATTTTGTATATATTATATATATACTTTTTTGTGTATGTATTCGTAACTTAATATAAATTTCATTGCACCTACCACTATTTACTCTGCACTACCTTACGTTGACTGGTAGAGAATGCCTTAGGCATTAAGTCCGCCAATGTAAATTTTACATGAAATGTATTAAATAAAATAAATAAAAAATTTATAAAATCTCCAGTCAACCCATCAACTTTATTACAACAAATCTTCGATCAACAATAGTAACTAGATAAAGGGATACGTACAAAATTAAAGCAAAAACTGTCCGCGTGAATATATACTTATATAGCTACATTCGTTTACTAACAAACGGAGAAAAAAGTTTTGAAACACTTTTACTTTCAAACTAATAACAACTATGGCACCTAGTAATAAAGTCACAAATCTCCAAAACATTATCTAATACTTACGATCATTCGTCACATAAAACGAGCAAAGCAATAAATTACTCCTGTCACTTACCAATAAAAAGACATATTTTAAACAACTTTTAATGTTCAATCAATCTTAAGGTGCAACAAATAAAGTAACTTTTCCCTTAATTGCTCTGAGAACTAACATCGTTTTGCTTTATTTATTTTTGCTTCTTGAAATGCCGATTTCTATTTAC